AGTCAGAAAGGGAGGGACAGACACAAAATGGTCTCTCTCATATATGGGATTGAAAGAAATGTGGCAGGAGAGCAGCAAATGCCTAAGGGTAACAGAAATGAAGAACAAGAGAATGGGTCTCCTAGGAAGCAGCACGTGGGGCAGGGTGGGTGGGATGGAAAATACTGCATTGCAAGTACTCCATTTGCGATGGAATTGCTCTGGAGGAGGAAGAGGTCTGCAAGGGGTTGGGGGTAAGTATTAGGCATGAAACCCTATCAGTACCAGTTCTGTAGCCCAAAGTTCCTAAAGAGAATAAAAGGCATCTGCCATAGAGGCAGGCTGGATGGTGTGGGGGAAACGGGGACAGTGTTGGAGGGAAGGGCCACTGGTGACGGGATGGGTGTGGTAGCACTGCATGGTAGAAGCCCAATCATGAAGAGTTTATAAATCACAGTGATTCGATAAAATTAGAGAAAAATAGATTTGTACTTCCCCTAGTGTACCAGAGATTAATGAAGATCCTTGCCCCAATCCAGACACCAGAACCAGTACCGTGAGCAGATTTGGGTATATGGTGGGAAGAAGAAAAGGCACCCTAAAAAAAAAAACCTCTTGCAAAAAATATACTCACTGAAAAGTCATCCTAATTAAGTTTAGCATCTTATTTCTTCCATGACATTCTGCTCTGAGAAAGGAGGAAATTTAGGTAACATTTTATACCATAACATGATTCGGAGAAAGACAGCCTCTAGTTTCATAAGCGAATCAGTGCTGTCTGTGCCCGCAAGACACTTCTTAAGAATCATTTCCTCCAGGGCTGGACCTGATTCTAACTATAAGATGACACTATAGGAATCATTCTCCCAAGGCATGCAGCTTTCCTAAGAAGGGAACAAAAAGGCCAGCCTAGGATTCATTCTGGCTTCTTGAAGCTATTCAAGTCTTCACAAAGGAGCTGCAAGTGCCCTCCACTTTGTATTAAACCTGTGCTACAACAATTATAGCTCGAGACTGGAGTGTCTGGGCTCTGTTTGACTTTTTGTTTTGTTTTGTTTGGCTTTGCTGCAATTGAAATCTATCAGAGAATTCTTTTCCAAGGAGGCTGCTCATCTTGGTTGAATGGAAGGGAACTAAGAACAGGATGTTATTCAACCTGCTGTCAGGCCCGCTTATCTCCCTGAAGCCAAGAGCACAGGGGGAAGCAGAGGCAGATTCAGAGCAATGGTTTACTGACCCCAGTGAATGTCAGAGATGCTCCTGTTCAAATATTAGGTTGGTATTCGAAAAAGCCATCTCTTACTGAGGTGATGGCATGGCGGTACCAGGGTCCTCAACCACCTCTACTGAACTGAGAAAATAAAAAGAATGTGTGTTGTTGGAATATAGTTCTAAACATTTTTGGTTTAACATTGGTTTGACCTTTCTCCTCTGCCATTGTGGTAGGGAGCTTAGGTCTACTGGGTTACAATCCATCACAGTGCTCTTGAGGCACTGGCATTCCTCTGTGTTTATTTTTTTTTAATTTATAATTTTTATTAGTGAGACACCGTGAGGTACAGTTGTAGACTTACAAGCTTTTGTGCTCTGTGTTTATCTTTAACCTCTACTCTGCTCTTTGCTTCCCCTATCTGTGAGTCACCTATATCCCCAAATCAGACCCTGTGATTTCTAAGGTCAGATTCTTCTAAGGACGCTGAATTTTACATTTGTAAGTAGAATTTGTCCTAGAAGAAGCTTCCCTGAGGGAAGGACTTTACATCTGTTGATTGCATAACCACACCTATGTGTAATTGCTATCCCCAACCCTTCATGATTTGCTCTACACCTAAGGCTGTAAGAGGGGGCATGAGAAGGAGGAATACGGGAGTGGGTGAGACAGAGGGAGACTAGCTTGGAATGAACTGCAACTTATCACCAACCAGCCTGGCTTTCATTTCTTCCTTCGTCCATCCATAACCATTGGTCATCCAGGGTGAGAGAAGCGGCCCCAGACCACCAAATACACGTGGCGGGAGAGAGCCCTAACATTATTTATTTATTGAATACACAGTGTGTTCTAGTTTTGAAACTACTTTGAGGTCTGTTACTTCTTCAAGGATCTTTAATAGGAATTAGAGCATTAGAGCATCCTGCCTCATTCAGATCACCAAATGTTGGTCTGAAGCAATAGCACAGTGGGGAGGCACTGACCTTGTACACTGCCAACCTGGGTTCTATCCCGACACCCAAGAGGCATCCCCCTAAGCACTGCCAGGAGTGGTCCCTGAGCACAGTGCAGATCACTATCCATGTGCATTTACAAAGTTAAATTAAATGTTTTAATATATCTTCCATCTACAGGTCCCTATGATTTATGTACTACAAATTCAAAAAGAAAAAGAAAGGAGAGCTAAAATGAGGAGTAGAAGAGGTAGGTAGAGAAATAGAATAGAAATGAAAAAGCTTGGAAGAGCAAGTATGTCAACCTCCATATAGAAAATAAAACACACAGAACACATATTATACAGAAACTATAACCAGTAGAAACTCACAAGACGCAGGAAAACATGAGAATAATGGGAGGAACTGATTCCAAAGATTTTGCCAATATTTTTGACTTAACTAAACCCATATGTCAGTAAACTAAAGTCTTCATTGCTATTGAACCCATGAGAGAATCAATATCAACTTTCAGAGTTCATAAAGTTTCACCAAAATGATCTTTTTAAAATCCCCTAGATTTCTTTAAGATTCCTTAGAGAACATTCTGACTTGAAACAAGGAAATACATAAATATTGGCTATTATCCAATGAGCATTGAGCAGTGCCATAAAGTAACAGTATAGAAAACAGATAGGAAGTCACGTTTGTAGAGTTTCATTAAGTCAATATTCTTTGGATGTACAAAGGCAAATTCCAGGGTAACAACATTCTTATATTCTATTAACATACGTAGAGCTCCCACAGGTAACAATTGAGAATTAACAATATCACGTGTTATCTGAGTGTAAAGTTTTAATTTTCTACTTTAAAAGCATACTGGTGAATTGAATGAAGGTAAGTCTTGATGTGCAATATAAATATAAAAGTCAATAATAGATGAACAGACTTCCTAAAAGGGCAAACTCATCAGAAAAAAATAGATGAGAAAAATGATGCAGAAAATAAAACTTAATAGTCTTTAATTACAGCATCTCTTTATGCGCATTGGTTTACATCATCTAAAATCAACCGATAGCTTTATTTGAACCCAGGACTTCTCTCTCCCTGCGTATGCATCCCAGGTGTCCTCTAGGACCCTGGGCTGCCCACCAAACCTGAGCCTCTTCCTGTTCCTCCCCATTGCTGTGCCTGATCTCTCCATCCCTCAGGTCATTCTTTATTCGAACCCAGGACTTCGCTCTCCCTGCGTATGCACCCCAGGTGTCCTCTGGGACCCTGGGCCACCCACCATCCCTGAGCCTCTTCCTATTCATCCCCAATGCTGTGCCTGATTTCTCCATCCCTGAGGTTGTACCCCCGCACACACCAGGTACCCACAGGAGGCGTGGCCTCTGGAGAAATGGGCATGGCCAATGCTCAAGCGGCCGCAGGTGAATTAATCATACCCAGCAATCTCGTGTAACTCTCAGTCTGCATACCACCACACTAACATGAAGAAACAACGCAAATCCCCATCACGAGAAGAGGATGATGAAAAGAGTCCAGAAGCCTCATTAGGTGTTACTCACCTAAGGGACCTCTCTGACAAAGAATTCAGATATGAATTAATGAAGCTGTTCAATGAACTCAAAGAAACAGTGACACAGTCATCCAATAAATTAAAGGAGAACATAAAATCAACTGATAATAGAGCTGTGTAGATAACAGATATTAGTTATCTTAAGATGCTCGGGAGTTAATACAGAAATATAAGGGACAATATAATCCTATGACAACTTGCATTGCTTCATTTTTACCAATGAAAGAATTGTAACATGTGCTAAACGTAGTAAGCGAGAAAAAGAATAAAACTGTCACATACATACAGAATACGAGGAAACAAGTCAAATGAATGATGTGGAACCAAAGCAAACCTTTATATTATGACAACAGAAAGGTATTTTCCAGAAGGGGAAGGACAGGATGGAAAAGGTGAGGGGTGCTGAGGCTCACCTGGTGGGAATGTATGGTGATTACACCTTTGGTACTGGATGCAATTTGTTCAGGTATGAAACTATTCCTGGAACATATTCAATATCGCAGATCTATATGACCTGGCTGTCGCCAGTGCCAGGTTGGTCCCATCAACGGCCAAGATGCAGAGACTGTAAAACCCAACTCCTGGAGGAGAACAAGCGCAGAGTCTCCTGCCTCTGTGCCTGGCTGTCCTCACTGGGGTCCCTTGGAGGAGGTAGGGTTGTTTCTCCCCCCCACCACCCCGAGCAGAGCCTCAGCAGCTGAGGACCTCCGGAGCCAGCCACGGCCATGCTGGGACCACTCTCCACACGTCCGGACGGGCCTCATGCATGAAAGAACTGGCAGAGGAATCCAGGCATGCAGGTCCCGGGGCTGAGGTCTCCAAGTCTACTCGGATTGGGACTGGACCTTCTCCACCTAGACCCTCCATCTTCCAGTAGGTGGGCGTCACACCCACCAGCTGCTACCAGTGCCAGGTTGGTCCCAAGATGCAGAGACTATAAAATCCAGCTCCCGGAAGTGCGCAGCTGCATTTGCGGCCATGCAGCATCTTATTATCTTATTTTTTCCTTTGGAGAACCTGGCAGGCTACCAAAAGTATCCTGCCCGCACGGCAGAGTCTGGCAAACTTCCTGTATCGTATTCAATATGCCAAATACCAGTAACAATGATGGGTCTCATTCTCCTAATCCTGAAAGAGCATTGAAATGGCCCTTTTAAAATCTCAGGGCTAGGAAGAAGGAGACGTTGCTGGTGCCTGCTCGAGGAAATTGACGAACAACAGGATAATCGTGATCATGATATGACCTAAAGATTGTTTTACTCACAACACAATGTAGACAATGTCCTATTCCACTCACTTGCTTCTCTGTGAGAATGACTCTCCCCAGCAACTGGTCTTCTAAACCCTTCATGGTGACCGTGAAGTCAATGATGGAGGTGCGAGCACTAATTTCTGGGGTGTAGGCTGGATTGGGCAGCTTGGTGGTAATGTAGAGTCTGAACCCATCCATCACATCTACCTCCTTGTCACCAACTTTCACCTTTTTTTGTGAAAAGCAATAAAAGAGAGACATTACTATAGCCTTTTGCATAGAATCAAATATTGCTTTAAGCAAATGATGCATTATATATCTACAGATAATTTGTATATTGAAAATAAATGGCCATTAGATAAACACATGGATTCAGACCTCTAGGAAGAAAGGAAATAAGGGAGGAAGTGAGGGAGCAACAGGGTGAGGGAGAGAGGGAGACAACAAGGGAAGAGATAAAAGGAGGGAGGAAGGTGGGAGAAAGGGAAGATCAAAGGGAGGAGTGGAGGAAGGAAGGGAGGATAGCAAGGAGAAGAAAGGAAGGAAGGAAGGAAGGAAGGAAGGAAGGGAGGGAGGGAGGGAGGGAGGGAGGGAGAAAGGAAGGAAGGAAGGAAGGGAGGGAGGGAGGGAGGGAGGGAGGGAGGGAGGGAGGGAGGGAGGGAGAAAGGAAGGAAGGAAGGAAGGAAGGAAGGAAGGAAGGAAGGAAGGAAGGAAGGGAGGAAGGAAGGGAGGAAGGAAGGGAGGGAGGGGAGGGAAAGGTAAGGGAAAGAGGATGGAAGGGGAGTAAAGGGAAGGAGGGTGAGACAAGAGGAGATGGAAGAAAAAGAAAGGTAAGTGAAGAGAAAGAAGGGGCAGGAAGACGAAAGAGGAAAGGAAGAAAATAAGGAAGAAAATCCCATACATACTCCATGCAATATATAAACTATCACAAAAATTACTGCACTCTCACTTTAAAAGTAAGATGGAGTTCTCACCCCAAATTTGGTTCAGAGGTAAAGCCTGATAATGTTACATGTATACCAAGTGGTGTGAAGATCTCGTTACCCATGTTACAAAATTTTGGGGGAATATGCTAGCAGGGTCCCAAGCAGTGTTTGAGGAAGTAGAGAGGCAGAGGTGTTTAGGTATCAGGTGATGGTGTGTAATGGCTCTCCACAGAACAAACCAGAGTGAGACTCTCCTACACAAGTGAAGCAGATGGCCCCCAGAAAATCGCTCTTGAATACTTTAATGTCCACTCAGAAATGTTTTTTTTAAAAAAAAGAAAATTCTTTTTGTCACTGATTCCAACCCAAGTTGCTGCTGATTGACAAAACTTTGCTTCTCATCCATGTCCTTGACATTACAGCATTCATTCCACACAACTACTAGCCATGGGCCCAACCCACCTTAAAGGTTGACCCCGTCTTAATGAAATTTCTCTCCAGAACATTATCTAGGGCTGGATCTAGTTCTTCTCCAACGTCCTCAATAAGCAAAGGTCTTCCCAGAGAGAGGCTGTCCTCCAGGTGGTTTCTGAAATACTTGTGATTTAGCGATGTTATCTAGAAACAAGATCAAAGGGTGCCCTTGAGAGACATTACCCCAACACAATACAGGTCACGGTCCTCCCGTTGTTCATGGATTTGCTCGAGCGGGCCCAGCAACGTCTCCATCATGAGACTTGTTGTTACTGTGTTTGGCATATCGAAATATGTCACGGGGAGTTTGCCAGGCGTTGCCGTCCGGGCGAGATACTCTTGGTAGCTTGCCGGGCTCTCCGAGAGGGGCGGAGGAATCGAACTCGGGTCGGCCATGTTGGCCGCTTGTAAGGTGAACGCCCTACTGCTGTGCTATTGCTCCAGTATAACAGAGTATAATAAATGAGTATAAATAAAATGAGTATAAATAAAATGAGTATGATAGATCTGAATTATTGAAGAAAGGTGCAAAGAAGCACAGTTGGGTTTTTGGGGCTTTTTTTCTTGTTTTTGTTTTTATGATGCGGGGTTTCAACTCAGGACCTCACATATACAAGGCAGATGCTCTACTGCTGAGCTACACCCCAACACAATACCAGGGATAATTGATAGCCAATGGAACTGGAGAAAAATACAGTGATTTGGAGCTCCCGACTTGTTATCCAACAGCATTGTTGAGTTTTTCATCAACTAACTCAACTCCTAGTGAAACTCATTCTGGGAGTGGTGGACAGAATGCTTGTACAGTTTGTCACCCTTAGCAGACTGGTATGCGCCTTTACTGGAAACCTCTACTGTAAGGATGAACAAGTTCTGCATGGAAGCATCACCGTTCCCTCACCACCACCCCACTACCACTTCTGTGATAAATAATAATGGAATGATGGGGAGTCTCCTTGTGAAAGATGCACACTTTTTGTGCTACAGCTCAACCCCGCTCCACGTTCAGTCTTGTGTCTCCACATTGTGTCTTCCAACTTAACACAACATAGTCGGGAACTTTGTAAGACAGAAATGGCAGAGATCAGCACACTTGCAAAAAAATGTCATTTTTAGAAAAGATTTTCATATCATATTTTAGATGGATATCTGTGAGAAGTCTAAATCTGTTTAATCTAGAATTACAAATACTCTCTAATACCTTCACCTGCACCTTTACTCTCAGATTCTTGTTGACTGGGATTACCAGCTGAGAATTACCTGCAGTTCATTTTGGCTCTCTTTATTTTTAATCCAGCTCTTGCCTTGAGTCTGGGGGTCAATTAATAAAGGAAAACGAGCTGCTTTGGTGACAATGATTCCATTCTGAATCGACAGATCATCATTTGGCAGACCTTGGAGGTTCCATTCACTAATCGTAGGAGCATCAATCAACATCTCAGTGAGATTTAGATTGTTTCCAAAAGGAATTTCCCGGGCTTTCATCTCTTTCTGCCAGTCATTTAGCAGTAGATCACGAAATTCTTGGTTAAATGGACCAGAATAAGATAGAAAAGCTGTGGCCAACAACACATCCCCTAAAAGGGAAAAAACAAAATAGTTAAAACGCTTTCAGACCATCATGGTAATTGCGCAGAATATTTAATATAGGGGGGAAAAGATGGTTCTTCTAAACTAAATTCCAAGAACTGAATTGTAAAGATATGTTGCTGCACATGGATGCCTGAGAAATCACTTGGCTTCTGGTTAAACAGGGCCTAGAGTGGGAACCATTCACAGCCGCTAGCAGGGAAGCACTGGGCCCTTGCAACCTGTGTTGGGTATGAAAGGTTGGCGTCTGATTAAGAAGAGCTAAAACATAGAGGACAGGCTTCCTTCAGAGCAGTTGGCCAACAGCAAAACCCACTCACATGAGAATTTAAACATGGATGGAACTAAAGCACATTAGTACTAAGAAGAAAGGCAAACCAGATGATCTCGCTCTTGGATGGCATATAAAAATAAACATGCAAGACAGGAGAAAAATCTCCAACAAAAACAAATCCTTCAACTCTGACTTTGCTAAGCATGAAGGGGACTGTGATGCTGAAAGGGGGCAAGGGACGATGGTGGCCGGATATTGGCACTTTGGTGAATGGTGTGGGTGTGTGTAGTGTAGAAGCATTTTACCTCCAAAACATAAACACTTCCGCTCTTGTAAACCTCAGCAAAAAGAGAGTGTGACAGCTATGAAATTTGACCTTCCAAGACCTCATGTACCTTAATTATAATATTGGCAAATTCCTAAATTTGACACTGTAGCACTGTAGCACTGTCCTCCCATTGTTCATTGATTTGCTCAAGCGTGCACCAGTAACGTCTCACAACAAATAGTGAGACTTGTTGTTACTGTTTTGGGCATATCGAATACGTCACAGGTAGCTTGCCAGGCTTAGCCATCCAGGTGATATACTCTTGGTAGCTTGCCAAGCTCTCGGAGAGGGGCAGAGGAATTGAACCTGGGTCAAATGTGTACAAGGAAAATGCCCTACCCGCTGTGCTATCTCTCCAGCCCAAATTTGACACAATCTCACTAAAGGATTTCTCTTTGCTGTCCATTAAAAATAAAATCTCAAATACATTTTTAATTGAGTACCTTGTGTCCTTGTGTGTTTTCTTTTTAATGAAGTATAATAAACAGATTATTTTATTTAAAAAAATTTTAAGTGGATGGTAACAGTCTACTTTAGTAAAGGTAACTAAGATGGTAACTAAAACTACTTTATTTTCTTAAAAATCCATTAAAACTGAGGTTCTCAACTGGTGCTCAGATCAACATCTGATGCCATCCTGACATGCCCTGACAGACCTATGCCAGAAGCCACGCCTTGCCTATAACAAATAAGCTATTATTAGTTTCAATAATGAATATGATACTGTTTTGGATCATGAGTCTTGATGATTTGCTGCAGAACAAAAATATATAATGCTGATGGAATTAAAGCTTTTCTCAGAAGAGCAAAAGATCATGAACACACCCAACAGGAACTGCCCAACACCAGACCATTAGGCCTCCCGCGGTGGACACAGAAACACATAAGCGGGGTCTGAGGGAATCCACAGCGGCTTTGTATCGAGCTCCAAGCTGAAGTGTGAGCACTCCCCATCACAGCCCACACTCCAGTTCATCAGCCGTGGAACTCACATACCTACAAGTCTTTTGGTTTGTGCAGCAAACTCTTTGCTCTGCTCTGTCCATCGTTCCTTCTCTCCTGCCAAGCCCCCGATGAGGGCTGAGGCAGTCTGCATCTTATGCCGGCATCGCTCTGCATCTTCCAGCAGAGTCTAAATAAACAACCATCATTGGGAGAAAAGAAAAGACCTTCAGTTTACATGAATATGATGTCCAACACCAAAAGGTCATTCGAAAAAATTAAATATCCTCTGTCTCTCTGCAACACATGAGTCATCTATTTCAAGACTCCTAAAACACTTTCCATTTGCCTGAGTCCACCCAATCCTTGGAACCTATATTCCTCCTGGGGGATCCTCAACTTCCTGGGGTTATGAACCGAGAGGTCAAGGAGATTTCCATCATTTACACTACTCTATAACAAAAAAGAAATTAAATGGGGCCAGAGCAATAGTACATCGAGTAGGAGTTTGCCTTGTACATGGCCAACTCAGGTTCGATCCCTGGCATCCCATATGGTCCCCCCAGCACCCCAGGAGTGATTCCAGAGTGCATAGCCATCACTGGGTGTGACCCAAAAAGCAAAAAAAGAAAGAAAGAAAGAAAGAAAGAAAGAAAGAAAATAAAAACAGATCCGCTAGTATTATCCAATACAAAGTATATTTTAAAAATAATGCCATTTCAAAGTTGGATTACTTCTCATGTTAAAGGTCTAGCCTTGTTATCACTTAGTCTAACTCCACGACTCCTATAAGTTAGGTGAAACTGGAGATTTTCTTCAAAGTGTGCTGTTGTGCTGATGCTATTCTGGTGCTCTTAATCTTGGAAAACTCCTTCCCTGCTCTTCCTATCAACAAACATCCTTGATCCCTCTCTTCCTCTGTGACTGTGACCATTTAGGTTTTGGTTCTTAGAAACATGTGATTCTACTTCTCTTTACAGCAATTACTAAAAAATGAAACTAACTAAGTAATACTTATGATACCATAATAGATGTGGATAAAGATTCAACGACTATAAAACCACTGGGCCGGAGATAATACAGTGGATAGTGTGTTTGCCTTGCATGTGTTCAATCCCTGGCACTCCATATGGTCCTCTAATCCTCATCAGGAATAATCCCTGAGCACAAAGCAAGAACTAAGCCTTGAGCACCACCAGGTTTGTTCCCCAAACCAAGAGCCAAACAACAACCCCCCCCCAAAAAAAACTATTTACTGGAAGTTCATGAAAATTTGCTAATTATTCAATAATACAGGATTATCAAATTGTAGGGCATTTTTGAGTAAGAATATTCTAAAGTCAAAAATTACCTCATGGAAATGTTTATAATTGCAAAAGATGTTCATAATATATAATTAAGTCAAAGTTTTAATTTACATACTCGGTGATCTGTTATGTTAATAATAGACTTGAAAATACAGGTAAATCAAGGGATATGTTCAGAAATTAAATTATAAAGAGCAAAGTATTTTTGTGAGTTTTCTATAAGGAAAACAAATTGTTTTGAAATAATAACCCTACACAGTATTTTTCAAAAGAAATCCATGCACACATTAATCCTAGGCTCCTCAGTTTTCCTTCCCCACCCTGAGCTCATGCAGAAAACCTACAGTTCTAAATTCCTCCCAGATACATCCTCGCTCCTTTTTTGCCCAGATATGTATGCTGGGTTTTCCCCCAGAAGAAAAACGCCAGAAAGAAGCAACAGAAGACATTTATTTCTGCCTATATCTCAAACAAACTGTTCATCTGAAGAGATATTTTCACAGCCAGAGAGATAGCTCAACATAAGAGGCCTGGATTTAATCCCTAGCACTGCAACACTTTTCCAGCTACTGCCAAGGACAACCCTCACAGACCCCACTGCAGAAATGAACAAGGAGTAGTCACTAAGCACTGCCAGGTGTGGAACAAAAACCCAAAAGATGAAAATATCGTTTTAACATTAAGCAGACTTCCTAAAATTCTACTCCTATTAGGAAATGTCAGCCTGCCCTCTGTTAGCTTTGCTGGGTGCAAGCCCAGGCCTTTGGGGTGACAAACCACGAAGAAAGCAGAGGAACAAGTGTCTGGTAATCTATGAGAGAGAGGTAGGTCTCTGTGACTGGCTGGGTTCATGATAACTACAGAAGATGTCTAGCTGTCCTGAGGGCCCACGAGAGTCCCAAGCAGACTATGTGCAGGAAGGGGGGGGGGGGGGGGTGGTGGATTATACAGGACTTTGGGGATATGGCATGGCCATAAGAATGCCAGTGGGCTCCTTGATCCCCCAATGACTTGGGATACTTAAGCCCCTGGATACTCCCCAGAGCTCTCTGAGAAATGCACATTCCTGGGTATTGAAATCACAGTCAAGAGTCTGTTGGGCTGTTTGCATTTTTTAGTGTAAAAAAAATTCTCGCCAAAATTCAGGTTTAAAGGGACAGCCAAAACAGAGCAGTTCCTGTGTGGTCCTGTGATTGTTTGTCGACAAGCATTTTGGATGCTCAAAACCAAGCAAGGAGAAAGTGATTGAATGAAGTCATGCAAAAGTGCTCAAACGGAAGCCTGCTAAAATGAGGCTGTCACACATGCTAATGTCAACTCTTTCTGCCACATTGTTCATTTCCTGAGTTGGTTTAAGTATTCACTGGGCCCTAATGTAGAGAAACCCAAGTCGGCCATATATGGTTCCTTCTTTTAAGTGGCTTAAAAGTTCATTTTGCTTTCAGTAAACTTCTCTTTCAGAGGAACTATTATTCATTCTTAACACAGTGAAATTGAAATGTTTACTTAAATTCCTTCCTTGGGGCTCCTAAAAGGGAATGGACTTATAGAAGAGGATTGGACAAATCCAATGACAAAATCATTGGATTTTGTGTGCTGAGAAAGGCAGGAGAAATATTCAGACTATCATGGAGGGGGAGGGTAGAGTGAGGTGGGGGGGCCCTGGCCTTGCATGAGGCCAAAATCCTAGACACCTCCATGGTCTCCTGATCACCACCAGAAGTAATATCTGAGCACAGAGTCAGAAGTAAGCCCTGAGCACCGCCCCTGGCAGCAAGCCCAGGCAAGGGGTCAGTTACCTGCTTCTCTGTCATGGCCTGTTCATACTCGGCTTGCACCACATCCAGCTCTGCCTGCTTGTCGTCCAGCTCAGCCTGGGCCTTCTGCAGATCCTGCATAGCCAAGATGTGGCGATTCTCCTGCACCACCAAGTTGGCCTGCAGAGAACACACAGGTTAGACACGGAGCAGGGCACCACCATGCAGGCCAGCGAGTCAGAACACACCACCCGTTCACACACTTCTTTTTCGTTTATTTATTTATTTATTTATTTATTTATTTATATTATTGTTGAATCACCATGAGATACAGATATAGAACTTTCATGTTTGAGTTTCAATCATACAATGATGGAACACCCATCCCTCCACCAGTGAACATTCTCCACCACCAATGTCCCCAGTATCCTCCCCCTGCCTTCATGACAGATAATTTCCCCCATACTCTCACTCTACTTTGGGGCACTATGGTTTGCAATACAGATACTGAGAGGCCATCACGTTTGGTCCCTTATCTACTTTCAGCACACATCTCCCATCCCAAATGATCCCTCCAACCATCACTGACTGAGTGATCCCCTCTCTATTCCACCTGCCTTCTCCCCCAGCTCATGATCCAGGTTCCAACCATGGGGCAATATTCCTGGCCCTTCCACACATTTCTTTGTGCCCCCACAGCTGCTTCTCAGAATTCATGAAGGTAAGGTCTGGTATGAAGGTGACCCTCAGTGAAATTTGTAAAAGTGGGACATTAAGATTCGCAGGTTAGCTTTCATTTTGTTTTGTTTGTCATCAAGTTCTGGTATGTTTGGTTTGGGGTCCCATGAGGTAAAACTAAGATACAGACTTACATAATTCTTTAAAGAATGTTTTAAAATATAAAAACATTTTTTAATTATTTTTAGTGAAACACCATGAGGTACAGTTGTAGATTTACAATTTTTGTGCTTGGGTTTCGATTATACAATGATCAAATACCCATCCCTCCACCAGTGCCCATTTTCCACCACCATGGATAATATCCCTCCCACTCCCATCCCTCCCATCTCACCCTGCCTCTGTGGCAGGGCAATCCCCTGTGTTCTCTCTCTCCTTTTGGATGTTGTGGTCTGCAAAAGAGGCTTTGAGTGGCAAACATGTTCAGTCCATAGTCTACTTTCAACATGCATCTCCCCTCCTGGGAGGATCCTCCAAACACCCTTTATTTGGTGCTCCCTTCTCTATCTGGGCTGCCCTTTCCCCTAGAATGCCCAGCTGGCCTCTAAGCTATGGAGTAATCCTCCTGGTGTTGATCTCAGCTATTTTGGGGTATTAATCTCATATTTTGTAAAAACTTTTTTTAATTAATCAGTGAGCTGCCAGACAAAGGAAGAGGGCAGAGAATAGTGTTCGACTGGATTCCTGGGTTGCAGTTTGCCAATCTCCAAAGCATTGCAAAATTCAGTACATATAGGTGAATCACAGAATATAGTGATAGTAAGCACAGAAGATAAAGAAAGAATTGAATATTTAAAACCACCTGCCTTGGAGAATTCATCACTGCTGATGAGGAAGCTAAGGCAAAATAAAGGCTGAGACCAACGTATTCTCTTCACATAAAGATCTAAGTTTGTGGGTAAATGGTCAGTGGTCTTGATGTCAGATCTATAGTTTTCAGACAGTGCTTGACTTTTAAAAAATAATTGACTAACTTTAGCTATAACCAAAAAAAATTTTAAGAAAACTATTAAATTACCCTTTAAAAGCATAATTGAAAACAATATTAGCAAAAATGATGTAGAACATGATTTCAGGAACTCAAATCACTTTTTTAGGTTGAAATTAAATGCCTGCCTCTTAAGTTTATGAAATGTCAAAATTAACTTCAATGGAGAAGTCCATTGAAGAACTATATTCTAGAGCTATATTCTTTGTGACTTGTTTGATATTTTTAAAAATTAGTTTTTAAAAAAATTGAGATAAATTATTTTTCTAGCTTAAAAATTCAGACTTCCAAATTGTGGAAAAAATACTTCTTCAAGGAAAAATCGGGGCTGGAGAGATAGCACAGTGGGTAGGGCTTTTGCCTTACACATGGCCGACCCAGGTTCAATTCCCAGCATCCCATATGGTCCCCTGAGCACCGCCAGGAGTAAATCCTGAGTGCAGAGCCAGGAGTAAATCCTGAGTGCAGAGCCAGGAGTAACCCCTGTGCATTGCTGGGTGTGACCCAAAAAAGCAAAAAAAAAAAAAAAAAAAAAAAAAAAAAAGAAAACAAGGAAAAATCAGGGTCCAATAATTCCAGTAATGGACTAGAACCAATGACGGGATGGGGGGGAAAGCAGAGCTTTTAAAATGCAGTTTCAAAAGCATCTGAATCTTGGACCATTTATTTTCACCTCTACTCTACACTCTGCCTATGAACAAGGCCTAACTGTGGAGAAAATCAAGTTTCCTAAGTCAAACAACTCACTAAAGTAAACACGAATGTCAAACTGTCACGGGCAAAGATGAATACTTCCTAGAACATTACTCAGGGAAAAAAAACACAACTTGCTTTAGTGAAGCTTTAAACATTGATAACCAAATGGCATGAATGCCTTCAAGCCTAACTGCATCTGTGTGTGCTTGAGGGGGATGGGGGGAACAGACACAGAGACACAGAGACACAGACAGAGGGAGACAGAGAGATAAAGAGAGAATGAAATTACATCTTCAAAAAACCCAAGTCTGATATCTGTCACATAATAAAAAATTCTGCTCATGTGGCCTGATATTGTTTGGTTTTCACAGCATTTTAAGGCGAAATCGCATTAGACTGAATTTGACTAGAGCATAAATCTTGGCTACTAGAATAAACAGGATCATGTTCCTTCACTATGAGAAGTCGGTCTACAGGGTTGTGTGATGAAAACAACAGCTACTGGATGGTGTTGAAGGGCATGTTCTGGCCCCTGACTAGGGAAGCAGCAGCCTCTGGTGAAGGCTCGCGGAAACAAAGGACTGTGGGAATCAGACAGAGCTGAATCTCTGCCTCCGTGCTGGTCCCCAGGATAACCTCTGCTACCAGCCTGGTGAGCACACAGGGTCTGTGTGACAGCTCTCGTTCTCTGGCATTAGCCTGACACACTGAGTGTTCCTGGTGCTCGAAATACAGGCGGGCGATCCCAGGACAGAACACTTGAAAGAGAAGCACAAAGTCCTGGGACAAATAAAAAAATGCACTTTGGATGGCATTTCCTTCATTTCCTACCACAGGACTGTGGTGGTCCTGAGACTGAACAGAAACTGAAATGAATATGGCAGAGGAAGAGCGCTTTTATCATTCTTAGAAAACCCTTGTTCACCTCGCTCGGGATGGGAGATGCATGCTGAAAGTAGACTATAGACCAAATATGATGGCCACTTACTACCTGTATTGCAAACCATGACACCCAAAAGGGAAGAGAGTACGAGGGAATGTGCCTGTCACAGAGGCAGGGGGTGGAAAGGGGTAAGGGTGGTGGGAGGGATACTGGGAACATTGATGGTGGAGAATGGGAACTGATGGAGGATTGGGAACTCGATCATTGCATGACTGAAATGCAATCACTGAAGTTTGTAAATCTGTAACTGTATCTCACAATGATTCATTAAAATATAGAGAGAGAAAAGAAAACCCTCGTTCAAATGACCATTGTTTTGTACTGCTTCTAGCTCACTTTCTTGATCTAAAGACAACAAAATAAAAACTTCCCACCATTAATTCAACTGCAATTCCCTTGAAGGCACTGTATCTGCTTACCCCCTGGAAAAAATTTCCAAGTATATCCTGTAGTTTCCATCTAATAGTATGATTATAATTCAGCTCATATAAGCTGCTCACTTTTTAACTATGCTTGAGTTTTCGGTGGTTAAGGTTCATGTCAGATGGAAGAACATCAATTATTTGCTCTCAGATTCTTCAAGCCCACTGGAGAATTTCTTTGTTCTTTAAGTTGCCCTAAGTACCACTTTAACGGTCTCAACTACTCAAAAAATGACCCCGAATGATAACCATGATGTGAGAAAATGGGACTTGCAAATCTACCCCTACCTTCTTTTAACTTATTCTTATTTGAACATGAGAATTAAATTCCTTGAGTTATTATTAAGAATAAGTGGGTTTCAGTTGCTGCTTGAGAGAACTCAGACTTACACCAAAGGGAGGGGGGATTGACACAGGCCATGAGGTGTGAGTTTTGAGAACTCAGTACTCCATTTCTCTAATATGCTCTTGCTTCTCCATCACAGAAGACAGTGTTGGTCTGCGGTGTAAGAGTGAGTACAAACAGGATGTAGAAATACAGTTACTCAAATACATATTCTTTTTGTTACTGTTGTTGTTGTCTTTTTGGGTCATACTGGGTGATGCTTAGGGATTACTTCTGGCTCTGCACTCAGGAATTACTTCTGACAGTGCTCAGGGGACATATGGGATGCCAGGGATCCAAACCAAGTCGCCCATGTGCAAGGCAAACGCCCTCCCCACTGTGCTATTACTCTGGATCCTCAACTGTCTATTCTTAAATAACGTTGGGTAACTGATGATATTGTTTCTTTCCAGAAAAACCAAGCAGAGGACAGGGCTATGCTTGGCGACCAGCGCAGTCCGACTCTCTCTCTGGTGTTCCCTGACTCAGTGAAAGGACGCCCCCTGCAAGAGATTCTAGACACTATCCGGTGACCCTAGATTATAGGACTCTGGGGGTTTTCCAGAGTTAGCATCATGAAAGAGAATCAGTTAACAGCCCCTCCCCTCCATGGGCTTAGCATTCTTGTAGACAGTTCATGCTTAGAGGCTCATGCAGTTCTGAGTGGAGCAGGATGACAGAGAACCAAGAAACCTCCTGTGCTCGGCCATTCCATCAGCTGCCTTCCCCACAGACTGAAGTACAACAGAGGCCAAAGCTCCTTGTGCTTTATGAAAGGTCAGACTACCGACACAGACACTGCTTGCAGAAGCTCTAGTTGCAGTTCCATGGAGACTCACCTTCAGAGGCAACACCTCCCTGTTTATAGAAAAGAAGGAAGCCATGGCTTTAGTCCAAGAGCAGAGGCCGGCTACGTTCCCACACACACGCTTCGCAGTCTCAATGTTGTAATCTGCCATTTCAAAGTAGGGATTCAAGAAGTCGATCACTTCTTCATTGATCGTGTCTTTGGGGAATTGCTATGGAAGAAAGAAGCAAAATAAAGTCAAAATATTACATCCCATGAAGTCATACATTCTGTCTATAATGTCACTGAAACAACTGAATTATGATTTCATTGATACTTCAGGATATGCCCTGAAGGTTAAAAATAATAGAGAGAAAGAGAGAGAGAGAAGAAAAGGAGGCAGGCAGGAGGGGTCAGAACTGGGGACACTGGTGGTGGGAAATGTACACTGGTGAAGGAATGGGTGTTGGAACATTATATATACTGGAACCAGATTATGAACAACTTTGTAACTGTGTACTCACTGTGATTGACAATAAAAATTTAAACAAAATATTAAAGAGACACAACAAGGAATTCAGCTTAATTATATCTGACTCAAAATAAACAAAAATACAAAACTTGCTTTGCTCCTGAGAAAGAGTAAACGATTTAAGAAATAAACATTACATGATTATAAATTTTCCAAACCAAAGCTTTTTCATGTCATTAACCCCAAAGAATTAAATTACTAATGCATAGAATTAATATTGAAAAGCAAATATACACAGGTACTTTTAGCCAAAGGACCTGATATATTTAGCATTTAGCAGCAACTAAATGCTTAAAAAATTCAGAGAGATATTCTATTAAGCGTGCCTGAAATGTAAAGATAATAACTTGATTGTAGGCCTGAGGGTATTGAATTAATTTTTAATCATAAAAGTATAGGAGAGAATAGGAGAGAATCCTACCTTCTGGCAAGATAATTACCTAAAAAATAATAGCAGCAGTGGTTGGAGAATGCCTTCACCTAACTAGAGACTTACCACACAATGAAATCAGGCCTCTCAGAAGTGTGTGGGGGCACCTACGAGAGAATGCTTAAGGACAATAGAGACAGGGCCAGAAATATTTCTCCATGGTTGGCAGCCTGCCTCGTAAGCTGGAATAGAGAAGGGATCACTAAGTCAATGATGGTTGGAGGGATCTCTCAGGATGGGAGGTGTGTGCTGAAAGTAGATAAAGGACCAAACGTGATGGCCTCTTGATATCTGTGTTGCAAACCATAATGCCCAAAAGTAGAGAGAGAGTATGGGGGAAATTGTCTGCCATAGAGGCAGGGGGAGGGGTGGTATGGGGATGGTGGAGATACTGGAGACATTGTTGGTGGAAAATGTGCACTGGTGGAAGAATGTTGGTGTTTGATCATTTTATGAGTGAAACTCAAACATGAAAGCTTTGTAACTTTATCTCACGGTGATTCAATTTTTTAAAAAAAGTTTTTAATGTAAATCTAGCACCTAAATAAATCATTCAGTGAAACAAGTCTTCAGAGACCATCCATGATGGAAGGAAGAACACACCCTCACTCAGACTTATTTTAATGCAAATTACTTCTTTGAGGCATGAAAAGGAACGAAGCCAGAAGAAAAAGAGAAAATAATATTTAGGAGTAACACAAAGGTGGAAGTAACCAGATAGACTTAGAAGGGGGCTCTCTCAACACCTCAACACGTAGCCATGGCAGGAGCCTCGTTATCTGCCAGGATTCAAATTCAAGTCCACTTCCAATACCACATTTTCCTGTGATAACGTTTTGAGTACCCTCTGTCACCGCCATCCCAACTCCTCCAAGCAAAGTCCCTTTCCCCATCCCTTGAATGACCCGATCGTGCTTGTCCATGGCTCTCATGGCAGGAGCTCATAGTTCTATTATCTTGGGAAAGTCTGTCTAGCGCACTAATTCCACAGGCCTGCTCTGAGGGGTTGCAAAGACACTCCAGCTTTGTCAGCCAGTCACTAGCAATTTTGAATTTAAAAAAATCAAGTGAATTCTGAAGCTTAGGAAATGGATACAGGATGGGTAATCCCAATTAGTTATCTTCAGACATAAAAATAAAAGGCATGGCAAGAAAACAGAATTTATTCTGCTCCAAATATTCCCAGTATGGAACACAGAAATCACTATTAAAATGCCAATAAACTAGTGAACTGGAGATATTCCAGCCTGGAAACCCAGAACCACTGAAATATCCGTGTGGAGCATTTTTTTCATGTGCCTTTTGGCCATTTGTATTTCTTTTTTGAGGAAACTTCTGTTCATTTCTTCTCCCCATTTTTTGACGGGGTTGGGGGTTTTTTTCTTGTACAGTTCTATTAGTGTCTTGTATATCCTGGATATTAATCCCTTATCAGATGGGTATTGGGTAAATATTCTTTCCCATTCTGTGGGCTCTTTCTGTATTTTGGTCACTGCTTCTTTTGAAGTGCAGAAGCTTCTTAGTTTGATGTAGTCCCATTTGTTTATGTTTGCTTCCACTTGCATGGTCAGTGCTGTTTCATCCTTAAAGATGTTGTTAGCTTCAATGTCATGGAGAGTTCTGCCTACATTTTTCTCTATGTACCTTATGGATTCATGTCTGATATTGAGGTCTTTAATCCACTTTGATCTGACTTTTGTGCCTGGCATTAGACAGGGGTCAGAATTCATTTGTTTGCAGGTAGCTATCCAGTTTTCCCAGCACCACTTGTTGAAGAGGCGTTCCTTGGTCCACTGCATTTTTCTTGCTCCTTTTCAAAGATTAAATGGTCATAAATTTGGGGGTCTGTGACAGAATATTCAACTCTGTTCCATTGGTCTGCAGGTCTGTTTCTAGCCCAGTACCATGCTGTCTTAATTACTGCTGCTTTGCAGTACAGTTTGAAGTTGGGGAGGGTGATGTCACCCATCTTCTTTTTTCCAAGGATTGCTTTAGCTATTCATGGGGGTTTATTGTTCCATATGAATTCCAGGAGTGTTCTGTCTATTCCTTTGAAAAATGTCATGGGTATCCTGACAGGGACCGCATTGAATTTGTATAGTGCTTTGGGCAGTATCGCCATTTTGATAATGTTAATCCTCCCTATCCATGAGCAGGGGATGTGTCTCCATTTCCTAGTGTCCTCTTTTATTTCTTTTATTGTCTTGTAATTTTCCATGTATAGATCCTTTACCTCTTTGGTTAAGCTGATTCTAAGGTACTTAATTTTCTGAGGTACTATTGTGAATGGGATTTTTTTAAATGTCTATTTCTTCTCTTTCATTATCTGTATATAAGAAAGTCATGGACTTTTGGGTGTTGATTTTGTAGCCTGAATTGTGGCAAAAATTTTTACTTTGTTTCAGACTGAATTTTCACTGTAGTTTTTTTGATGGGGATAAGCTAATTATGTTTTATAAGATGTAGAGTTTTAGAAATAAATTATACGTTTGCAGGTAGATTTGGAGCATTTTTTTTCATGTGACTTTTGTATTTCTTTCTTGAGGAAACTCCTGTTCATTTTCTCCCCATTTTTTGATGGGGTAGGAGTCTTTTTCTTGTACAATTCTACTAGTGTCTTGTATATTCCTGGATATTACTCCCTTATCAGATGGATATTGGGTAAATATTCTTTCCCATTCTGTGGGCTCTTTCTGCATTTTGGTCACTGTTTCTTTTGAAGTGCAGGAGCTCACAGGAAGTTTTTTGCTGTGAATTCTTTCAATCAAAATATCTGTGAGAATTGTTCTTATTGCACAAAAGCACATTGCATATTCAGTTGTGTGTGGCAAATTTTAATGACTGGTTTGGGGGAAACCCTTTACAAAAACTCTTTACAAAAAGAGTAAAAACTGGCTTTAGTGCTTGATAATATCATATATTAATTTTAAGAACTTTTTGTTGGAGGGGGATCAGCCAAATAGTACTTGAGAAAGTTCTACTTTACAACAGTTCTTGGCCTGGCAATGTCAAGAATGATTTCCAAAACCACATAGCAGGGCCAGAGAAATCTTTCAGTTATTTGGAGCACATGATGGCCTGGGTTCTATCCCTGATAGCATGTGTGGTCCCAGTACTGCCAGGCATGACCGCTGAGCAATGAGCCAGGGAAAGCACCTGAGTTTTAAAGCTGAGAGTGGGTTACAGCCAACCCCAAACCAACGCAAACCTAGCAAAAGGTGGTCAAATAAGTAGAAGGCAATGGATTTTGAATATATATTTTTTGCTATATGTATATATAATTTGCTCGAGCGGGCCCAGTAACGTCTCCATTGGAGACTTTGTTGTTACTATGTCTGGCATATCCAATACTCTCGGTAGCTTGCCGGGCTCTCCGAGAGGGGCAGAGGAATCGAACTCGGGTCGGCCATGTTGGCCGCTTGTAAGGCAAACGCCCTACCCGCTGTGCTATCGCTCCAGTTCTCTGTAATAAATCTTAGTAAAATTCTATTGATTTGCCATTGGTTTACATTATTACATAAGTTTGGAATCACAGTTTCAAATCTCCTTATCTGTATAAGTTTCACCTTACCCCTCATCCAAGATTCAGTGCTCTCACAATATCCAAGTGATGCATCTACCCTCTATCCCTTCCCCCTTCCATCCCCTCTGGCATCCCACCATATGGTTACAGATGTTACACTGGTTGTGTTTGGTGCTTTATTTAAACCATATTTTTATATTCCATAATGAGAAACCACCCAGTGTGTTTCCCAGGTTCTGACTTTTTCTCTTAACATAATCACCCCGGCTCCCATCCATATTATCATAAAAAGAGTCCATAATTTTTAATAACTTAGTAGTATCCCTCATAGTATCCTGGGCTGGAGCGATGCACAATGGGTAGGACATTTGCCTTGCGTGTGCTGACCGGGCCGGCCCGGACTCCATTCCTCTGCCCCTCTCGGAGAGCCAGGCAAGCTACCGAGAATATCTCACCTACACGGCAAAATTTGGCAAGGTACCTGTGACATATTCGATATGCCAAACACAGTTACAACAAGTTTCACAATGGAGACATTACTGGGCCCGTTGGAACAAATCGAAGAACAATGGGAGGACAGTGACAGTAGCATTCCATTGAGCATATACTGCAATATCTTTATCCACTCATTTATTGATGAGGTAGAGGTTTCCATGTTTAACTATGGTGAGAAAAGCTGCTGTATACTTGGACTCCCAAGCATGGCTGTGTTTAACAATCTATTTACAGATTTCCTGAAATTCTTAGCTGAAATTTCTCATGAGCTTGTATGAACACTCACCAGAATAAAACATGGTAATAGACTTGAATTTGTTTTTTGTACTGTGGGTTATATTTTGCTTTGTTGCCAGTTTTGACTTTTAAAATAAAGCACAAAAGCAACAACAACACATGAAGTCCAATGAATGTTGTTCTGTAGGTAATTTGGTGGATGTGTTTGCATTCCTGTTGAAGACTCAGAAGTGGGATTTCTGACCATTAGATCATACATTTAATTAACTTTTGTAGATTGCACTGAAGAGTTTAAACTTAGTTGTATATAACAAGAGCTGTATGTAAATCACTACCTTCTTCTATGATGAGACCATCTGATTATGTGTTTGATGACAAATGATATGGAAACTCTTGTCACTTCATGAGTTTCTTCAGAATTCTTTGATTAAATATCTCCTCTTGAGATCTCCTCTTGAGATATTCGCTAGCCATCAGGGAGATGTAAATCAAAACAACAATGAGATATCATCTCACACCACAGAGACTGGTACACATTCAAAAGAATAAAAGCAACCAGTGCTGGCATGGATGTGGGGAAAAAGACACACTCTTTTACTGTTGGTGGAAATGTCCACTAGTTCAGTCTTTCTGGAAAACAATATGGACAGTCCTTCAAAAACTAGAAATTGAGCTTCCATATGACCCTGCAATACCACTTCTGGGAATATATCCAAAGGATGCAAAAAAGCACAGTAGAAATGACACTGTACCTATATGTTCATTGTAGCACTGTTCACAATAGACAAAATCCAGAAACAACCCAAGTGCCCTAGAACAGATGACTGGTTAAAGAAACTTTGGTATATCCACACAATGGAATACTATGCAGCTGTCAGGAGAGATGAAGTCATGAACTTTGCTTATAAATGGATAGACTTGGAGAGTATCATGCTAAGTGAAATGAGTCAGAAAGAGAGGAACAGACATAGAAGGGCTGCACTCATATGTGGAGTATAAAACAACATAATATGAGATTGACACCTAAGGATAGTAGATACATGGGACAGATAGATTGCTCCATAGCTGGAAGCCTGCCTCGTTAGCAAAGGGGAAAAAGCATCTGCAATAGAGAAGGGATCACTAAGAAAATGATGGCTGGAGGAATCGGTCAGGATGGGAGATATGTGCAGAAAGTAGATAAAGGACCAAACATGATAACCTCTCCGTGTTTCTATTGAAAGCCATAATGCCCCAAAGTAGAGAGAGATTATGGGGAATAATGTCTGCCATGGAGGCAGCGGGAGGGTGGGAAAGGGGAGAGGTATACTGGGGATATTGGTGGTGTGGAATATGCATTGGTGGAGGGATGGGTGTTTGATCATTGTGTGTTTGTAACCCAAACATTAAAGCTTGTAACTATCTCATGGTGATTCAAAAAAATTTTAGAAAAACCTCCCTGTGGCATTATTCCATACATTTAAATTTCACAATAGGTGAATCATCTTTAGGATAAATATCAGAATAATAGTTTCATCATAATGAAATTTAATAGATGCAAATTAGTGCTCAAAAATTACTATTGGGGCAGAAGAGATATTCCATAGGTTAAGGCACATGCCTTGCAGTGGCCAGCCCCAATTGGATCCACAAACCACCTGGTCCTCTGAGCATCAGCCAGTACATGCCTGGAGACCCTGAGCACTACAGAGGTTGCCAAGGTAATCCCTGGGCCTCAGGGCCCAAGCAACACCACCTCCTTGCAACCTTGCATTGAACTTTTGGACCATTTGACTGAGAATCTCCAGTTGGGTCACCATGCCTCCTGAGTACCTCTTGGGAGACCCTCCCCTGCAGAAAAATTACTATCAAGGCTTACAAAATGAAGATGTATGCATCTATTTGTGTTTTCTGTATTTTCTATAACATCTGTCACTGTCACTATCCTGTTGTTCATTGATTTGCTCGAGCGGGCCCAGTAACATTGTGAGACTTGTTACTGTGTTTGGCATATCGAGTACGTCACGGGTAGCTTGCCAGGCTTTGCTGCGCAGGCGAGACACTCTCGGTAGCTTGCTGGGCTCTCCAAGAGCAGCGGAGGAATCAAAGGCAGAGGAATCAAACTCGGGTCGGCCGGGTCACCCTCGTTCAAGGCAAATGCCCTACCTGCTGTGCTATGGCTCCAGCCCTCTATAACATCATGCACATGTTAACATCTATATATTTAACATGTTAAATATATATTGTTTCCTTAAAATGATTTTTCAGTCACTATTGAGATATGATGCTGACAGTGCTATAATATACCAAGTCTGTTGGGAAATGCTCTGGTGCTTATAATGGCTTACATTGGAAAGGACAAAATCTACTTAAAAGAAATTCTTAAATAACATATATAAAATATGTCCATCTAATATTATTCAGTGTCAACAAAGATGGAAACTGTGCTACTCTTAGCAATATGGGTAGACCTGGAAAACCTGATGCTTCATGAAATAAGCCAAAGACATAAACTATGTGGTCTGACTTACACAAGGAATATAAAATAGACCAAGTCATAGAAGCAGAGAGGAGGGATGGAGAAGTGGTACAAAGCATCAGTTATGCAGTGAATGTCACTGCACATTGGTATAAAGTTGTAAATGGTATGTAATGAAAAAGTTCCAGGGACTTATTTACATTGCACAGCAATGTAAATACAGTTAAAATACAATATCGCATGCTTAAATTTTGCTAGGAAGGTTTATCTTAATGTGTTCTTAACACACCAAAAAGCAGGACAGGAAGAGGGAAGAAAAGAAATAGCAACTGTGTGAGTGATGGATGTTTTAATTAGCCCGAAGTTATTTTACCTTCATTCATTTTAATTACCTTAACAAACATGCATATGTCGATCACATCAAATCACACACCTTATATATGATTTCAAATGTTAATGGCACCCTAAGAAAGATGAAAATATTAAAACTTGAGGTGACATATGTAGATCCTTTGAAGAAACTTGTGCTATTAAAGGGCTACAATGAAGTCGGAGTTTCCTCTGAGCCCATCATCCTGGAACTACCAACCTGCAAATTCTGCAAAAAGTTCCCAGCAGTCATCAGTTTCAAAGACTCCTGCCAGGAAGGAATGGTGCAGCTTTTCTCCAGGTCAACTTTCACTGCATTGACTTTCCTCTGAAAGAGCAGCAGCACACAATCCATGATCCTCATGATGAGGTGTGGGGGTCGGCCCAGCGTACGCACCGTCGCGATGTCCGAAGGCTTGATAGTCTGGGCGAGAGAAGGCACTTAGCATCTTAGCATCCGAGCTCAGAAAGGCAAAGTCCAATGGGACAGGCAACATTAACAGTCATGCAAAACACTCAGACCAACCAACCTCATCTCTAAATGCGTCTATCTCAACAACGTCAAACTGCCCTTGGAAGGGGGGGAGGGGTAAGATGCTTGCCTTGCATGCAGTCAACTCAGTGTACCACATAAGGTCATCCAAGTACCACTGGGAGTGATCCCTGAATATAGAGCCAGGAGTGTGTCCTGAACACCTTCAGTGTGGAAAGGAAAGGAGAGGAAAAAGGAAGGGGGAGGAGAAAGAGGAAGAAGGGAGAGGAAGGGGAAAAGGAAGGAGGGAAGGGGAGGGAGGGTAGAGAAATATCTAGCACTTAAGTGGAGACAAGGAATTTAAACCAGAAAAAAATTATTTGCGATGAATTTTGCTCATTAGTTATGTAGGTCAAGATCCCGCCTCTGTTTCTTGAGCAACTCTGACCAGTCAGGGTGTCCTAGCATGAGTGGGTAGCCTGAGGGCTGGCTGACAGGGTGAATAATGAGAGGTTTCCTCACTGGAAACTGACCTTCAAATGCTAGTACTTGAGCAATGTGAATTTCACTAGGCTCTTAGGAAAGTTCCATTACATTTCTAGTACAGACATTCTCATAGAGTAAATTATTTAACAGTCACATCAATCTGCCATGGGTAAGAACAACGATTTTCTCTTAAATCTTGAAATAAGTACTGAAAAAAATTTCAGTGCAAGAATCTGGTTCAATCCTATTTATTGAACACCCAATATACATGTATCCCTTCCAGATCTTGAAACCTTCCCTCTCATTTGCATTTGTAGACCTCTGTCAAAAGAAGGTAACGAATGTCGCCTTTCAATGGTAATTTTATTTTCTCTGAGAATAGCGGGCAACAACATAAGTGAACCACTAAGCCTGGTCATCGGGAATAGAGCAATATACCAGCATTTACGAAAGCTAGGCAGCTAAAGTGAAAAATAATCTGTGGTAAGAACTGGAGATGGGGACTGAAGTGATAGCAAAGCGGGTAGGGCGTTCACCTTGCACGCAGCCAACCAGTGTTAGATTCCTAGCATCCCATATGGTCCTCTGAGCACCGCCAGGAGTAATTCCTGAGTGCAGAGCCAGGAGTAACCCCTGTGCATTGCCAGCAAAAAGCAAAGAAAAAAATAACTAGAGATGACAGACGTCACTGAAGATACGACTATAAAAGAATGGAAAAATTGTAGCATCCTGGGGGAAATTACAGTCAAATTTAAGCTACCTAGAATGTAAGAGTTGAATGTGCTTGTCTTACTTTATCTTTAATGTGGGTGGAATGGGGGAGGTTCAAAGAAATCAGACTCAGTTATATGAGGTGTCCAGGTAAAGGAGTTTGGGAAAGAGCATTTCTCAAGTTCACCCTAGTTAGTTAAATATTGGAATCATCTCTTCTCTGCAGACGAAGCAATAGGACTGTTATATGACTTCTTATCCACCAAGCAACAATAATAGTCACTTAACGTCTTGAAATATTTGATACGTTTATGTTGAGTCAGACCAACATTAAGAGAGGAAAATGCAGTCTTTACTATTACCTTACTTGTCGTATCTGGTTTTGTAATCTAATGTCAAAATATTATGGTTTGTATGCACATAAAACTTTCTTAGTATAAATTCTTAAGAGTTCACAAAGAGCCAATAAAATGCAAGTGGAACCAGTGAAGAAATTTTATTTAGAACACCTGCACACAGCCCATCACTTTATGCCTGGCTGTTCCCGCACAATTTTGCAATAATACTTATGTGATGCAAAATACATAACTGGTAGGGGATGCTAAACAAGTAGAATACCAGAAATGCGCCATAATATAAAAGAAATGCCAAGCCTTTTAAGTCGAGGGAAGGTAGAAGTTCCTAAATAGGACCCCACACGCCTACCACAGCTCTGTTTCTACAATACCACTGAGGACCAAGAGTTCAATAAAGGCTTAAAGGTATCTGTACAATATCATTATTTGTCTTTGTCAGAGATTCTCAGTGAAATCAAAGTAACTCTCAAAAATGGGAGATGGGGATATTAATACTCCAGATTCTCTGATTTGTACACATTACATGTGCACAACATTTCACATGCTAGTAATACTTCAAAAAATTAATGGAGAAGAGATACACCAAAACTCTGGGGTACTGAGAGTCTGGGGTAGTATAAGGACTAAATAGAACAGTTTATTCTTGGCAAGATGAACTGAAAAATAATTCGAAAAAGTTCAGCCCATGGAAGAGTGCCAAGTGTGAAAAATTGGAGAGACAAAAGAATGCTGTTATTATCTCAAATGAAGAGAAATTCATATTTTGTGCATTGGCTTAGAAAACTTAAAGACATTATTTGGATCCAAAAAATTTAGAATGATGACCTACCATCTCACACCAATGAGAAGGGTCTGTACCAAGAAGGGAAACAACCAGTGTTGGCGAGAATGTGATGAAAAAGGTACTCATGTTCACTGTTGGCGATAATGCCAAGGTAAAAAAGTATGAAGACCTTCCCAAAGCCTTTATAATAGTATTCCTATAATCTATAAATTTTACCACTGGGCACCTATACCAAGAACACAAAAGACATTATGTGTTTATTGCTGTACTACTTCAACAGCCAAATCTGTAAATAACCCAACTGTGTGGATTAAGAATGATGAGTGGATAAAGAAATTGTGCAACATATTAGAAATTCAATCTATTTATCTATAATATGCAATCTTGCATTTCACTATAACATGGATGGAATTGAGAAGGATTGTGATATATGAAATGTCAGAAGGAAGAGAAACACCAAATGATCTCTCTCATATGTGATATGTAAAGAAAAGAAGCAAGGAAATGAATGGCATCCAATGAGAGAAAATCTCTGGACTTTAACTATGGAACTGAGATCTCAAAGAAGAGGAGAAAGGGAACTTGGGGGCAAGGAAGGAAGAGGTGTTCTAGAAGCCATATGAACATAGCAGTCTTAGGCATTTTGGTGAGGGAGGGGTGTGCCGTAACTCTGTACACTAAAGACTGACATTAACACCATTGCAACCATGTTACCTTAAATACAATTTTAAGAAGTAATAGAAGCATGTTAGATAGTGAGTTTAGAATGGCATAACTGCAATAATAGCATTGTCAAATCCCGAAAGATGCTCAGCTGAGGATCATAACATTACTTAGATGATCATAACATTACTTATCAGTCGTGTTCCATTTTTCCAGCCATTTTCTGGGCAAGGGTCCAATAACTTAAGATGTCAGATAAATAATAATTAAGTAAAAATGATGTTGACTCCAAGAACATCTTAAACTGAATCACCAAAACTGGACTAAACTAATCCTTTTAGGCTCCTTCTACTTCACTAAACCCAATTATTTTCCCAGAACCCAAACTAGTTTCTAATATCACCGTTTCTTTTACTGCCATACATCACATTAAGAAATTGCTGGAGGGGACTGGAGAGATAGCATAGCGGGGAGGGTATCCGTTTCCATCCGCTGCAACCTATATGGCTCCCCAAGCATAGCCTGAGTGAATAATTCCTGAGTGCAGAGTCAGGAGTCACCCCCGACCACTACCAGGTGTGGCCCAAAACAAAACAAAACAAAAATGCTGACAGTCTGCTCAACCCTGGCACCCAAAAGTCACTTAGGTCATTGGGCCAGTAGCTCATTTGGATAATTCAGATAGACCTGAGGGTGGCACTTCTGTCAACACACTCCCGTGTCCTCAATGAATCAGGAAATGCTTTTGTGGACATGTGGCATGGCATTCCCAATGTCAGCATGCTCACTGTGGGCAGGACGCCTGCACAGCATTGTCCAACACTGCCTGCTATCCGTGGGTGCAAAGAAGGAGGTGAGAAGGAGCACACAGCATCAGCAGAGAGCAGAGAACATTACTGGGCACAGTCTCGAGGGAGAAAGCGTGGTCCGAAGCAGTAACAGAGTTCCCCAGTGCTCTTCACTGGAGCCTGCCGTCCCCTCCTTGGTCCCGAAACTCAGCATCAGTTCTGTCCCATGAACATACCTGCAGGGCTGCCTCGGCTTCTTCTAATGCTGGTTTGGCGGCTTCCAGTTTCTCTTCTGCGATGGCTTTGTCTTTAGAGATGCTGTCTACAATGGCCTGGGCCTTGTCCTTCACCTTCTGGACCTCAGCCTTGACTTTCTCAGCAGCCTGGGCTTTCATTGTCACTTCTTTCAAGACCTAATCCAATATTTTGAAAAAGCTCATCAGAAATTAATAAAGACTCAACAGAAAAAATGCACCTTTCTGATTTTCTGATTTTTGGGGGGGGGGGGGGGTTCACTTAGTGTTCACACATAAAATCAACAGTCTTTTACTCTAATGGAAATCGATCATTTGTGCAGCCCGAGATGTAACTCAGTAAAAATGTACTTATCATTAGCATTTATGAAGTGGGAATTCAAACAGGTCTGGATGCCCATGTATGACCACATACCATGTCAGCTTTATCATTGGCCACTTGAAGCTCCTTTTCTTTGGCTTCTAGCTCTATGCTCAGGGCTGCAACAGACTCTGAGGCTTCTTTAAGCTTCTCCAATCCAGTATTCATTCTGGGATCGAAAGTCCAAGAGAATAATGTTACAGTTTGTGGCACTTTGCCAAGTACTGTCTACACATTTTCCAAGTATGGCCTACTAATATGGATACGACGGCCTTTGGAGAAACAGGACATAGCAAGTGGGTAGCAACGGCCTTGGAAGAAAGAGGAAAGAACAAATCCTCACTGAACATTGACAGGTTCTTGGGAACTGCCATGTGAGCGAAACAAGGCAGAACAAAAAATAATTTTATCATAGACGAACTGATAAACATCAGTGTTAGGGCGGGGGCGATAGTACAGTGGGGAGGGCCTTTGCCTTGCACTCAGCCAACCCAGGTTCGATCCACAGCATCCCAAATGGTCCCCAATCATCGCCAGGAGTGATTACTGAGTGCAGGGCCAGAAGTAACCCCTGAGCATTGATGGGTGTGGCCCAAAAACCAAAAAAACAAAAGCAAAAACAAAATAGTTTTAAGTTCTACAGCACATTTCTCTTTATAAGAACATCATTAACTTTTAAATCAAGACCCAAAACACTTCTAATACTTAAACAATAATCTTTACTCCTTCATTTATTTTTTCCAGCCCCTCACTCCAGGTTCAGGATCAATCATGAAAGCTGGCGTGCAAGGTGAGAACTAACCTTAGGCACTTTCTATTACAGGGGTTACAGGGTGCCTCTCTGCCTCTGTCTCTTGTCTCTCTCAGTCTCTCTGTCTGTCTCTGTCTCTCTGTCTCTGTCTGTGTGTCTCTGTTTTTGTCTCTGTCTCTCTGTCTCTGTCTCTATTTCAGCCTCTGTCTCTCTGTATCTCTCTCGCTCACTCGCTTTTCTCTCCATGCCAGTGAGCCTCAGGTGCACATCTTTGTGATGTGAGAGAAAACTCACATAAGTGTTGGAAGAAGAGGCCAACTTCACACACAGTGGCTCTGCTGGGAATTGATTTTTTCTCATCAACATTATAATGAAGTGGTCTTGAATGAAACCTGGTAACTTGCAGAGGAAATCTAAGAGGGCTTGGCAGAGAAAGATATTCATGCAGGTCTGATCTGAGACCAGAAATCCGTCTGCTCTTCACTGAGCACTCATGGGAAGGCCGAACTTGCTAACAACTCAATATGACACAAGGAACAGCCATTGGTCTAGAATCTGCGTCATGCTGGAAACATGCTTAAAGAAGCTGAACTCAATAATAATGGACTTCTAGTGATGGAAGCCCATCATGAAGGAAGGGAAATAAATAACTTACACGTTTTGAAACAGATCAAGGAAGTTGAAAGAAAAGTGAACTGGAATCAAGAAAAGAAATAAATTTAAAGCCATCACAACAGGCTCTTGCTCTTGAAGGGATTAACTGCTGATGAACCTGACAGAGTGTGATGTACAGGTCTGTGTGCCTCAGAGTCATTTAATGCTCAGTCCTATTCACAGCTCCCTTCTGCAGCAACTGGCGCTGACTCTGGCCATATCCAGGCAGAAAATAGAAGTGATCAGGAAAGAACAGGGCAGAGCAGAAAAAATCTGTAACAGAGCAGAGAAAGAGCATATTCACTGTGCAGTGAACAGAAGGGCCAGCCCACTCGTGTACCCTGGACAGTCAAAGAGAAGGTGACAAGAAGTACAGGAGGGAGGAGGAGAGATCTGTACTCGCCGCAACTTGCTTCCAGATCTATTATTTCTCCTTGGAGCATCCAACATTATAGGAAAGATAAAGAAGCTGGAAACATTCCACCATACTGGACAATAACAGACACACTGCAAAGGTCCTTTGAAGAGACTGAAATGAACTTTCTGAAGCTCAGCATGGCTTGCATTTGGAGCAGGAGACTTTGTTGTAGAGAGAAGCTCCTGAGCACTGTAGGGTAATGAGCTACCTCCTTAACATCTCCTCGTTTGATGCCCAGGGGACCCTCCAACCCCCGCTGACCCATTATAACAACAGTTATGTCTCCAGTTGCTGCAACTGTGCCCCTGAGAAGAGCCACTTCTAGAAAGTTTCTTGAGATTGGAAACCACACCCACCTGTTGGCCAGAGTTTGCACTTCCAGATGCTTTTCTCCATAAATGAATTTATAGCCCTGAATAAATGAGAGGTATGACTTGGGCGTCACATGGGTGGAGCGTCGGAAGCGCTGGAAGTAATCCACGCATTTCTCCGCTACCCCGTCCTGGAAGGAGCCCATGCACTGCACCACTTCCCTCTTGGTCTCCAGGCTGCAGTCGATCTCGTAGGAAGAGAGGAAATGCTCTGACACTGGAGAGAACAGAAACAACAGCCTGTGTCATAAAAGGAGAAACTCCTTTGAAAGCCTCACTGGCATTTACTAAGGCTTAGAAACTTCTGAGCGCTCTGTGCCAATTTCACAGCCAGAGTCAGGTGGAGATACTGTTTGACTCCAGACCAGGGAGACAGACTAGGTGCTTTTTCCCTTTGCACGACCAAACTAGAACCAACTGAAAGCGCTTTATCACCCCTGCTTCCGGGACTCGAGCAAGAAAACGGATTCTCTGCAGCTGCGGGTTCTGGTCAGCAGCCAGCCTGTTTCACGGTTGACACAGAGAAAGAAGCAGTGAAAGAGCCGAGACCTCAGCGGCCACCTGCTACTCATATTTAACAATTCCACTTTTGTTGACTTGTTCCTCTTTACTGAGAACCTGCGCGGCCCCAGGATCCAAGTGCATTTGGCACGTGGCGTGCTCGAGGCTGAATCCTTTTATGAACAGGCTGTTTCATGCTTCCAAGTGGCAGCTGGCCGTTTGTGGTGAATTCTAATTTACGAAGTCCTTTAAAAAGGTTTGGGGAAAGATCTGTCAGAGACCTTTATCTTCCCAACAGCACCCAACACGGAAAAGATTAGAAGCATTTCCTATTATGAGACGCGGTCGTGATGCAGAGCCCATCAATCACCAGCAACTCTGTGTCTCGGCCACAGGTACGACCAGGAGGGACCTTGCGAAGCAAAGTCATAAAAGGAAATTTTGTCTCAATTCTAATTTACTGAGGTCATGGATAAAGGAGTTAAAATGATCACAACCAACTGTATGTTTCTGGGGGGGGGGGGATGATCTATGGTTTTGCTTATCAGGCACTTGACATACTGAACAATGCACACAAGAGATGCCAATTGAATGAGACCAGTACAAAGGGAGGAGAGGAAGGAATCTTGTGAGGGAATACTTTGAAAAAATCATTTTTATTTGGGGCCATCCCTGACAGTGTTCTTGGCTTACTCCTGGATCTGTGCTCACGACCCATTCCTAGCGGTGCTCAGCAGACACCGTGGGGCTCCAGAGATTGAACCCAGGTCAGCTGCATCCAGGAAAAACACCCTCTGTGCTATACTAACTCTCCAGCCCCACAAAATTTATATATTTTTAGTGAAACCTTTTTACTACTAGTAACTGATCACTAAACTTAATTTTAATACAGCAGTTATGGGTCAATACTTACAGCCATATAAATAACAAGACTATCAGCTTGGTCACAAAGACAGGGTATAAGGTATGTTGAAATGCACTAAATTAAGATACCGAATCAGCCATATGTTCTCATATAAGGCAACTGCTTCTGAAAAAATAACTTTTCAGTTTTAAGAAGCTTTCATTTGGACACTCTTAGAAACATAGGGGAAATTCTGCTGCCACTAAATAACCTGAATAAAATGGAAAAAAGGGCACTCAACAGACATCTTTCTAAAGAAAACAAATGGCCGGTGGATACATGAAAATCTGGTCAACATTTCTATTAGGCAAATGCAAATCAAAGTCACAATGAGATATCACCTCACTGTTCTGAGGACAGCTGATGCCAAAAAATCAATAAATAACAAGCTGTGATCAGGATGTAGAGAGCAGGGTATCCTGCATTACTGGTGGGAATGTAAGTTGTGCAGTTACCATGGAAACCAGTATGGAGATTCCTCAAAAATTTAAAAATAGAACTGCCATATGATCCATCAATTTCACCTCTGAATATATATGTGTGTGTATATATGTACATATATACACATATATATATGCAGAAACTGAATTCAAGATCTGGAAAAGACCCCTACAGACTGTTCACTGCAGCATCATTCACAATAGCCAAATATTCATCAGTAGTGAATGAATCAATAAACTGTGGTGTACATATGGAATACAGTTTTATTCAGTTTTTCGCAAAGATGTAAATTCTGCCATTTGCAACAATAGAGATAAATCCGGGAGGGGGGCATTGTGTTAGCTGCAATAAAACAGAAGGATAAATATCTCATGATCCCATTTATATGAGAAATCTGAAAGCATTTCATATGATAATTAAAATTATCATATTTAACGTGATAAAATTAGAAAATGAGAGGATAGAAATGATGTCAGTGTGTAACTGGGAGGGAAAAACTGGACGATATTAATCAACAAGAAGGAAAGTTCAGATATATAAAATGAACAAGTTAGGGGCTGCAGCAATAGCACAGCTGGTAGGGCATTTGCCTTACACACAGCCAACCCAGGTTTGATTCCCAGCATCCCACATGGTCCTCCAAGCACTTCCAAGAGTAATTCCTGAGTGCGTGAGCCAGGAGTAACACCTGTGCATCGCCGGGTGTGACCCAAAAAGCAAAATAAAATAAAAATAAAATAAAATGAACAAGTTAGAGATCTGTGTACAGCACCATGCCTAAAGTTAATGATGCCGCATTCTAACCTTTACATTTGGCTAAGGAGTTTCTCATGCACTTATTCCAGCACCACACCCAAAACTAGTGTACCCTTGTCAGGTAATATTCCAGGTAGCAGGGTTGCCCAAGCAGCTATCAGACCCACCCGCTCTTTCCCTGCCAACTGGCGTGATGGTTCAATGCAAGACCTGAGGAAATGGTGCTGGTTGGACCCTCTGGTGCTGGGATTACCTGCGGTCATCACTAAGGATTCTTGGGGAGGATAAATGTCAGGACCACATCCAGCGATGTTCAGAGGCTTCCAGGGATGAATCCAGATGGGATCATCTGATGCCATGGATCCAACAAAAGTTGGTAACATGCAAGCTCTGCATCTTATCCCTATATTATATCTCTAGACTCATAGTAAGTAATAATATCCAAAACTAAGCATTATAATCACTAAAGAACTTCCAAGTTACCTTCTGGATTTTATGAGGTTATGGGGTTTGCAGGGGAAGGAGGAGGATCACAGCCAGCAGTGCTCAGGGCAACTCCTGGTTCTGTGCTTATAGACCACCTCTGGTGGTGTTAGGAGACCATATACGGTGCCAGGTACCAAAAGGTTGAGTTACATGCAAGGAAAACACCCCAATCCCCCAACCCCTGTACCATGTCTCTGTTCCATGATGGATATTCTTATGTCACAGACTGTGATGAAAATTTCATAGCTTTATACTTAACCTCCAAAGCTAGGAAGTTATATGCATTAAGTATATATAGTCCTTTATGTGTCATTCACACTTTAAGTAGTTTTTATAAACAACCCAAAAAGAGGGAGAGAGAGTAAAAGGGAATGTACCTGCCAATGAGGCGGGGAGGGGGGAGAGTGGCAGGAGGGATATTGGTAACATTGGTAGTGGAGAATGGGCACTGGTGGAGGGAGAGGTACTTGACACTGTATGACTGAAACATAATATCACAAAAGTTTGTAAATCTATAACTGTATCTCATTATGATTCATTAAAAAATTTAAGCAGTTTTTACAAATAAAAATGTAGAAGTTAAAGAATTAGAAAAGTATAATTAATCTATTATCTTTATAGAAAAATACTATGATCTAAATAAAAATAAGCACAAATGGATGACAGATTTCCCCAGTGATGTTACTAGAGGTAATTTAATCCAGAATCAACATTCTGAAGGCAACTTTAATGACGGTCTTTTCTACAAAATTTGTTGCTCATTTTATAAAAAGATAACCAATGCTTAAATCCCTCAGTGTACTAAGTTCTTCCAATACACATATATGGTATTCTTTACAAACAACAAATGGCAGGTTAGCTTTTGTTATGTAGATTTGATTTTCCCAATAACTTTTCTTATATTTCTTAAAGGAAGGAGCTATATCTCAGGTATTATAGCTATTTACTCCCATGATTTCTAACAAATTTAAATATGCATTTTGAAAAGCCAATTGTAAATTCTTACTAGATTTGGGGCATTTCCACAAAAACCTACTAGTTATCAAAAGGTCTGAATGGTTCAAATGCCCAGGTGTACTATATAATGTATCATTTCTATAGAGATAGGAATCCAATGAAAGTGATGTTTTTTATATTCCTAAGTGACTACATGAAAAGCAAAGGGTGTGACAGATTGTAATTAAACTTTGGAACTAAGATAAAGAAAATGAATAGAGAATTCTTGATCTGAGGGACAATGTGTGGAAAGATAAGGATAATCAATATGTCCAGAGTAGCTTCAGAGAACAAGTGAAAAAAGTCTATCTTGAGAAAGAGAAAGGTGATGCTGGCTGAGAAAAAAACTGCATGTAAATACAGATCATATTATTTAAGGATAATGAATTTTGACAATCTGATTAATTCATTTAAAACAAGTAGAGACATAGCTAGTTGATGAAATGGCGTCTTATGGTTTTTGAATTTGAGTTTTCGGTCTACACAGGCAGCTAAACTTTAATGTAGTAAATGATCCAACTGAAAATAAAATTGCAAACTATGGTTAGTGACAAGAAAGCGAAGCATAGAGTGCTGAAAAACAGGGAGGACGGCTTAGCAGAGAGAAAGAGGAAGCAAAGGTTGATTTCCTTGAGGAAGTGACACTTAGCTCGGCCAACATTATCAAAAGAGAGGAAAAAGTAGAAAATGGGGGAAGAAGGGAAGAAAAATGGCCTTTGCTGAAAAGAAAAGGGAGGACATGGAGATTTGAAGTTGGAATAATGTGATGGTGTTCGTGTTGGTATCGTCTTTGCATCACCCTGGGAGACAGGTAGAAAGAAGAGATCATTAGAAAGTTATCTGGGTTCTCCAGGTGAATAACAATGGGAGCTGGGCCTCAGGTGTCAATGGAAGGAAAAGAGTTGGACCCTTAGGAGACACAGTTGGCATGACTTGATGATGGAGGGGATTTAAGAACTGGAGGAAGGAAAGTAGATACATCCAAGAGCCCCATGCTTGCTTGATCTCCTGCATAGAGCAGGACCCCTACAAAGAGGGAGATCGGAGAAGAACCACTTTAGTTTAAATAGTTTGAGTTTGAGGAGACTTGTGGGAGATGTCACGAAAATTTATCAAGCTGGCAGCCAAGTGCACAGATTTCCAGGCGAAGGACAGTCTAGGCTGGAGATAAAACTTTATGGGCCATATTATATGGGCGGTTGTTGATGAGTCTGCCTAGGAGAGAATCTGGAATGACGACACAAGTGTGCTTTGCCCTCCAATATGCCTGATCATAAATGTCACAAAGCTCAATAAATATGCTCCAAATAAGTGAAAAATAGATGCATGCATAAAGGTCAGGATATCTGCTAGGAACTAAGGACAGAATTTCATCTCTCTGATACATCATGTAACCTTGACTTGGGATGATGTAATGAGATGAAAAGGAATGAGGATGGGATGTGTGCAGTGAAAGACATGCCAATAAGACCTTCTGCCTAGAAAAAATGATTGAAATAGTAGATTTGGCAGGAAGGGCCTCCATATCTAAATTAAATCAGCCTTATTAGCATATATTAAAACGTCTGTCATCTAAAATGGTTATTTCACTGTTAATAATAATACCTTACATGACATATTATAAAAAGACTTGCCTACTAATTAACATTATTTTAAAGCAAACGTCAATATAATTCTTAAATACTGTTATTTTGTAGCCTGCACCTATATCCAGTATCAAGAATTTTTATCCTTAGATTTCACATTTTTATAGAACATAAAATTATGCAATAAGAAATAAAGGCCCCAGGTTGGGGCCGGAATATTTAAGAAGAGTACATATAATATTCAAAATATAGTAACCTTACTAAAATAGTGATACTCTAAGAATCACTTCTTTCTATGTGATATTTCTATTGTCATACTAGTATGACTTAATTATAGTTTTCAATTTTTTATTAATACTTATGTTTTAAAGATCATGCTATAAAAATACAATTAAAAACATTCAAGAAAATTTAATTTTAATAGAAGCATCTTGGCTTTTTAATTAATACTGTGAACATACATCATTTGACTTTACCAATTGAAAATAACAATTGCTAGAAAACAAACAGATTTGTTGTTAAGAAAAGTTGTGTGCCATGAAATTCAGGACCAATATGCTTACAAAATAGTTTGTAGGTGTCCAACAAACTACTGAAAGATATTAACTTATAGGTTAAAAACTCAGACAAAGAAAACACTATTGTGGGTCTCTATACAATTAGGAAAGTCATTTCTCCAGGTTTTGCCTAAGAACACCACTTTTGGAAGTTACATACAGTGTCAAATGATTTCGGTTTTTTCCCTAAACTAGCCCTGTGACTTACCACTCATGTCCAATACCTTCTTATGTAATTTTCCTTTTCACATTTAGTAAAAAATATTCAATTCTTCCCTATCTTAAAAATTTTCATATAAGAAATCCAAATCAAGGTACCATTTCATACCAGGGAGAGTGGTACATATAAAAATAATGGGAACAAGCAGAGCTGGCTAGGATGTGGCGAGAATGGAATTCTCGTCTGGTAGTGGGAATGTTGTCCAGTTCAAACCCTGTAGAAAACCATCTGGAGGGTTCTCAGGAAACTCAGAATCAACCTAGAGGTACAACAACAGAATGGTGGATCATGAGGTTGTGGGATATGTACATAATGGAATATTATGCAGCGGTAAGAAATGGTGAAATTAAGCAATTTCCTGCAACATAGACGAAAACTGGAAGATATGTTAAATGAAGTAAGCCAGAAGAAGGACGAATACAGGATGACACCACTTATATGTTGGATTTAGAGTTACTGGATGAGGGAATGCAATGGTTTAAAGTGGGGTGGGGGGGGGAACTAGATCACCGTTGGTCCCAGTGGACAGGGAGGAGAAGGCTAGAAACAGAGTGAAGGGTGAGGGGAGAAGAGAAAGATGAGAAACTATGGGGGCAGGGGTCAAAGAAATTCAGGTTCATCGGTAGTGTTAAGGAATGACAGAGCTAAATATCCAAACTACAGAATAAACAATATTGAAATCACAAGACCCAAACTTTTAAGATGCCTGTCAAGATGGCAGACTGGACTGGAGCAGGGGTGGAGGGGGGGGGGGGCGGGAGAGTAGGAGAGGGAACCTGGGAACACTGGTAGACAGAAGCTGACACAGGTGGCAGATAGGTAATGAAACATTGTAGTCTAAAACCCAATTGTACCCAATAAGAGAGAGAACAAAAGGGAATGCCCTGCCACAGAGGCAAGGGTGGGATGGGGAGGATGGGGGGTGGGAGGGATACTGGGATCCGTGGTGGTGGGAAATAGGCACTGGTGGAGGGATGGGTATTTGATCATTGTATGACTGAAACCCAAGCACAAAAATTTGTAAGTGTACAACTGTACCTCATGATGTCTCACTAACAAAAATTAAAAAATAAATAAAAAATAAAATAAAATAAAACCCAGTTGTGAATCACTTTGCAACTCACCGTGCTTTGATAAAATAAAATTTGGGAAAAAGACATTTATTTTCAGCGTGAGGAAAAGATGGAACTTGTAACTGATTTACTAAACTATAGAATTTCTAGAAATGGAAACAGTAGGAGAAACACAGTCATGAGTACATTTGTGAAACCTTGAAAATACAATGTAAGAAAAGAAATCAATGGTCATAAGGGACAATGGGATCGTGGTGAATGATTATTAGTTCTGGGTGTCAAGTGGGAAAGTAGAATTGCAGCTGTAAAGCAATAATATGGCAACTGTTGTAAACCACATTGTCTCAAGATAATTAGAATATAAATTATTTCTGCTGTTGTATGTCCTAAAACTAAAAAATAATTGTTAGCATATGCAGATCTTATTTATACTAATGCATACACAAAATTCATGTGATATTTTAACATAGTGTTATTTCAATTAAAACCCTTTTTATTTTAAAGTGACAGGTATGTGCTAGGGATATGGCACAGTCATAGTGCATATGCTTGCATGTGTAAGACCCTAGGTTCCAATAAGAGCACTAAAACTTATTTCAGTATTTAGTTCATTCATTTCATTTCATTTCATCATCCTGTTATTCGTTGATTGTCTCGAGCAGGCCCCAGTAATGTCTCTTTCATCCTAGCCGTGAGATTATATTCAAGACTATTTAGAAGAATGAGACCCATCATTATTACTGGTATTTGGCATATTTGGTACACCACGGGGAGTTTGCCAGACTCTGCCCTGTGGGCAGGCTACATTCAATAGCCTGCAAGTTTGTCCAAAATAGGAATGAGACAATAACATGTCATAAAAAGAAAAGTTCTGAAAAGATGTCGCGCGGCCGCAAATGCGGCCGCGCGGTTCCGGGATCTGGATTTTATAGTCTCTGAGTCTTGGCCGCTGATGGGATTACACGGCGCCAGGGGGCCAGGTGGTGGGTGTGACCCCTGCCTACTGGAATTTGGAGGATCTGGGTGGAAGATGCTCGACTCCAATTCGAGTAGGCTTGGAGGTCTCGGCCCCGGAACCCGCGTGGCTTTGTCCCTCTGCCAGTACCTTCATGTGTGCGGAGAGTGGTCTCAGCATGGTGGTGGCTGGTCCTGGAGGTCTTCAGCTGCCGGAGCCCTGGTCGGGGCATGGAGGAAAGCTCAACCCGCTCCCCTCCAAGGGGTCCTGGGAAGGAACACCAGGCGCGGGGGCAAAAGACTGCCAGTATTTAGTTAACTGAGTTTAATTTAGGCCATCAATTGGAAAGCCACCTAAAGTTCAAAATAATGTGCTAAAAACAAACATTTCCCAATGGATAAGAGTTTATTAAAATATATGCATGGCTTCTATATAAGTGTCTGTGTGTGTGTGTGTGTATTCCTCTGGATGGAGCCCAGGTTTCACACGCATCTAATGGCCAGGAGGTGGTTACTGCACTGTTTCCTCTCACTGAAACCGGACCTCTGAAGCTACACGTATGTAGGCAGTAATTGGAAGGAGAATGAGAGGAAAAAGCCCTAGAATCCTTCTTTTCTCCATTTTTCACTGCTTGGTCTATTAGCGAAAGATTCTTCTTAATTATTAGTAAAACATAATCAGAAAAACGGCGAAAATCACTATTCAGAATCAGGCTTCCCTAATGCACTAGATTAGCAATAATTCTAAGTGTCTACCTTTTAAAAATATCTACACATCTATATTTTAGGAGAGATAATACAGGGATTAAGGTGCTTTCTTTGTACAGAACTGACATCAGTTTGATCCTTGATACCATATAAAGACCCTGAAATACCACCAAGAACGAGCTTCCCCAAACCAAAGACTGATATATGATAATTTCCCACCAAAATATGAAAAAGTCACAAAATGGTACTTGACATCTCCTAAGGCTCGCATGTCCAATTTCATTTCCAGAGTGGGAGAACCACTAAGGTTCCACGGGTGGAAGGCAGAGACATAACATGCTGGGGAGCAGCTTTTGCCCAAGGCTGATGCCAGCTGAGGACTACAGGGCAGTTCTCTCAGATTCCAGCACTGCCATCAGGGGAATCAGGGGAAGGAATGTCCAAGTGACTTAGATTGCTCTGAAGCTGACCAACTGAATATCAACACTGTCGAGGAGATTAAAGCCTCCATGCTCTCTTGGCACCTATAAGCACCAGCCTTGTGACCCAACTGTTGACAAAGAGGTTTTCAACTCAATCCAGCACAGAGACAGCAAACAGCACAATCTAAAATAACAACTCTCCCCCCCAACCACACACACACACACACACACACACACACACACACACACACACACATACTCACAGTGTAAACCAGAAACTAACGTACAAATATTCACCACTCACCAGCAACTAAGGCATCCTTAGGCCATCGGCTGAACCAGTCAATGGTGCATCCTGAAATAAGGGCCGGGAACTTCAAAGCTCGATTGCGAAATTTTTCCCCCACCGGTGAAAAGCAGAGTACCACATGCAGATTCTGTCGAACCCGACTCATGAAGTATTCATACAGGTTCTCATTGGTAGCGGGACGCCGGGGGTGCTCTTTTTTCATGACTGGTACCAGATCACTATGAATTTCATCAATCTCATCACGTGCAAACAGGTTAGAGACCTTGGAAAGTACAGAGAGCTCACCTCAGTTCAAGCAGAGCAAAACAGACCAGAATAAATTGTTCCAGATGGCCAACGTCCAGAACATTCCTCGGCTTCTATTCCTAAATTTGCCTCTGCCAAATCAACTCAAATTCTATAAAGTGATATGTAGCATGTTTTAAAATATCAAGGGATTGGATTATTCATGGCAAAGTCACAACCCTCTGAAGAGTAGGTAAGAAATCAAAAATCTAATCAGCTTTCCTTCCAACCTTCCACTTTTTTTGTTTTCGTCACTTGGGGCATTCATTGAAGTTTTAAATGCACACTTTGATTGGGAGCTTTATTCTCCAGAAACCCAGTGAAAGAAACCATTCTTCAGATTGATCACCTAATCCACAATAATAGCACTATTCAAAACTCTAATGGAAGAAAATATAGAATGCTCTAAAACTAGAGGAAATCCGAAGAGACAAAACACACGCAAAAGGAATGAGCTCTTACCTCACCCGATGATAAGACATTGTTCATATATTCCAAAAATGACTCATCCTTAATCTCATTGTCTGTGAAAATAAACGTGATTCCTTTGCCTTGCTGGCCAGCCGTTCTGTACAAAATCTTCAGGTCTTCCATCAGATTTGAGGTGCTATAAGATCTAAAGAAATATTGTCTTGGTGTTATTAGCTAAAGTAGTTGTATAGAAAGGAAAGAGCCTAATAAAGTGCTTCAGGGCACTTGGCAAACCAAAACAAGTGCTGATAATTTTCCATCCAACAGGTATTATGTGAAAATTTTCCTGTTCCAACTATCTACCTGCAAATGTATAATTTATTTCTAAAACTCTACATCTTATAAAACATAACTAGCTTATCCCCATAAAAAAACTACAGTGAAAATTCAGTCTGAAACAAAATACAAATTTTTGCCACAATTCAGGCTACAAAATCAACACGCAAAAGTCTATGGCTTTCTTATATACAAATAATGAAAGAGAAGAAATAGACATTTTTAAAAAATCTCATTCACAATAGTACCTCAGAAAATCAAGTACCTCAGAATCAGCTTAACCAAAGAGGTAATGGATCTATACATGGAAAAATTACAAAACACTACTTCAAGAAATAAAAGAGGACACTAGGAAATGGAGACACATCCCCTGCTCATGGATAGGGAGGATTAACATTATCATAATGGCAATACTGCCCAAAGCACTATACAAATTCAATGCAGTCCCTGTCAGGATACCCATGACATTTTTCAAAGGAATAGACAGAACACTCCTGGAATTCATATGGAACAATAAACCCCCATGAATAGCTAAAGCAATCCTTGGAAAAAAGAAGATGGGTGACATCACCCTCCCCAACTTCAAACTGTACTACAAAGCAGCAGTAATTAAGACAGCATGGTACTGGGCTAGAAACAGACCTGCAGACCAATGGAACAGAGTTGAATATTCTGACACTGACCCCCAAATATATGACCACTTAATCTTTGAAAAGGAGCAAGAAAAATGCAGTGGACCAAGGAACGCCTCTTCAACAAGTGGTGCTGAGAAAACTGGATAGCTACCTGCAAAAAAATGAATTCTGACCTCTGTGTAATGCCAGGCACAAAAGTCAGATCAAAGTGGATTAAAGACCTCAATATCAGACATGAATCCATAAGGTACATAGAGGAAAATGTAGGGCACTACAATGAAGCTAAAAATATCTTTAAGGATGAAAGAGCACTGACCATGCAAGTGGAAGCAAACATAAACAAATGGGACCACATCAAACTAAGAAGCTTCTGCACTTCAAAAGAAACAGTGTCCAAAATACAGAAAGAGCCCACAGAAGGGGAAAGAATATTTACCCAATACCCATCTGATAAGGGATTACTATCCAGGATATACAAGACACTAATAGACTTGAATAAGAAAAAAAAACCTCCAACACCATCAAAAAATGGGGAGAAGAAATGAACATAAGTTTCCTCAAAAAAGAAATACAAATGACCAAAAGGCACATGAAAAAAATGCTCCACATCACTAGCCATCAGAGAGATCTAAATCAAAACAACAATGAGATATCAGCTCACACCACAGAACCTGGTACACATTCAAAAGAACAAAAGCATCCAGTGCTGGCATGGATGTGGGGAAAAAGACACACTCTTTCACTGTTGGTGGGAATGTCCACTAGTTCAGTCTTTCGGGAAAACAATATGGACAGTCCTTCAAAAACTAGAAATTGAGCTTCCATATGACCCTGCAATACCACTTCTGGGAATATATCCCAAGGATGCAAAAAAGCACAGTAGAAATGACACTGTACCTATATGTTCATTGCAGCACTGTTCACAATAGACAAAACCCGGAAACAACCCAAGTGCCCTAGAACAGATGACTGGTTAAGGAAACTTTGGTACATCCACACAATGGAATACTATGCAGCTGTCAGGAAAGATGAAGTCATGAACTTTGCTTATAAATGGATAGACATTAAGACTATCATGCTAAGTGAAATGAGTCAGAAAGAGAGAAACAGACATAGAAGGGCTGCACTCATATGTGGAGTATAAAACAACATAATATGAGATTGACACCTAAGGATAGTAGATACACGGGACAGATAGATTGCTCCATAGCTGGAAGCCTGCCTCGTTAGCAAAAGGGAAAAAGCATCTGGAATAGAGAAGGGATCACTAAGAAAATGATGGCTGGAGGAATCGGGAGGATGGGAGATGTGTGCAAAAAGTAAAAAAACACTGTTGTCAGTGTCTGGGAGGCCACCGCTGCCGCACAGCTGAGGGGCTGCCGTGGCCCTGAGCGCCCCTCACCACCTCCAGGCTCCCTGTGGTGCCAGATCATTGAGTTTCGATCATTGATCAAGGAACCTGAACCCAAGGAACTGTGAGCTCAGAGCAGCACACACACTTGTCCCATGCGTGGTTCCTCTCAGCAGACATAAAACAGTTCAACATCGGACACTTGCCCTAAACAGCTCCCAATGCCAGGAACTGGCAAACTACTATTTTCATTTCAATGGATGGTCTAAAAAGATTGTCAAGCTTCAGGATTTTTCTGATACTGAAGAAAGGAAAAATGAAGATATTGTTCCACCACTTCAGAAGCAAAGCATGAAGATCTTCTGTGTTTTAGTGGTGATATTATCATCCTTTGATTGCAAGAGCCCTGGAGTTGGCATAGCCAAGGAGACTTTGGATAAACTGGAAGCTCCTGGGGACACCTGATGATGATCCTGGCTCAGCACTCAGAAATCACTCATGGTGGTGCTCCGAGGACTCTATGGGATGTTGGAGATCAAACCTGGGTTGGCTACGTGCGAGAAAGTGGTAAAATGGCTGTGGAATATCGGCCTTTTGAGGAGCTCACTGATGCCAGAACCGAAGAATTACGTGATTTAATTCAAGTCAGCTGCCTTTCTTGAAGCAGAATGGCCAAGAGGAGGAAGAATGTCTCTCAGATTTCAGTGGTGAGGGGGAAGCACCAAGACCGCCACAGCTGGACTAGTACTGTTGAATTTGCCAGATTGCCAAGCCCCAGCCCCACCCCAGGGCTCCACGCACATTAGTCTGCAGTCCCAGTCTTGTTTTGCTAACAGGGGTGGGAGGGGAGGCTGGGGGTGAGGGGAGTTAGGGACTGGAAGAGGACCTGACTGGACGTCTTTGGTGCCTTCAAGGAAAGAAGGAAAGCCTGGGTCCTGTTGGTTTTGCAAAGCCGGCTTGGCCCAGAACCATAAAAGGCAGCTTAAAGGCTGCATAAATGTGCTGAGGGGGAGATGCACATGTTGATGGAAATACATGAAAGGCATACCCTTGGGTTGAGAAACTTCACATAGACTTTGTGTGTCACGGTCCAGTTTCCCAGGAATTTGCCAGAGCATTTTAAAGTTGTTTGGTTGAGCTGACTTTTGTGCCCTAGCTTTTACCCGTTGCTTCATACAGAGCAGCCATGTTGAAATACTTACCTATAACTGTTTTCCAAAAATTCCCTGTAGGCTGAGGCTTTTAGCTATGTACAGTTCCTATGTTCCTATGTACACAAGACCTGCTCCTGGCTCCTCACACAGGACTCCCTCTGACAGTGCTCACAGGACCAGCTATGGTGCTAGGGATCGAATGTGGCTTGGCTGTGTACAAGGCAAGTGCCTCACGCCCTGTAAAACAGTGCTTCAGTTCAAAGACAAGCCTTCCAAGTGAAGTCTCACGGAAATTCACCAGAGAAGTACAATTCTGACAGTTGTTTGAGAATGCAGCTTTGAAGGGCAGTGCCATTCTGCTCCCGACACGTGGGGCCTCAGGGGATAGGAGTGGAGCTGGCCCTTTCCTCCCCATCCCAATAGGACCCCGAGTCGCTGCCCATGAATGGCCTCTCTGGCTCCTGATCAAGCTACTTAATGGCCATGATCCTAGAGACTCAGAAAAAAAGTCTCAAAACCCAGCGGCTTTTGGCAGAAATGCGTCTGGACCGCGCAGTAGGTTACTGTCACTGGGCCGCCCCAGGGGGGAAAGGGTGCTGTCCCTCCGCCTGCTCCCCTAGGTGACTCAGTAGTCACCATCTTCCAGGGGCCATTCGACATTTAGGTTTGGGTCCGCAGTGACGAGACATGTGGGGCCTCATGGGATGGGGGTGGAGCCAGCCCTTTCCTCCCCGTCCAAATGAGACCACGAGTCGCTGCCCACGAACGGCCTCTCTGGCTCCTGATCAATCTACTTAACGGCCATGATCCCAGAGACTCAGAAACAAATCTCGAAACCCAATGGCTTTTGGCAGAAATGTGTCCGGTCCCTGCAGTAGGTTACCAGTGTTGGGCCACCCCAGGTGGGAATAGGTTTCGTGCCTTGGCCTGTTCCCCCTGGTGACCTCAGAAGTTATCTAAGAGTTTATCTTTACAAGTCCTTGATGAGAATTCAGGTAAAGAGTGTCCTTCTGGGACACACAGATTTCCCGGATGAGGATTTAGGTATTTCAGAGTCTTGGCTGCTACTCTGGGAGGAGGGGGGAGAAACAGTGTGTCCCTGGGCTTGGCACACTGGTGAATTCGGCAGTGCTAGTCCAGTTGCGGTGGTTTGGGTGCTTCCTCCTCACTGCTGGAATTCAAGAGACATTCTTCTCCCCTTGGACATCCTGCTTCCAAGAAAGGGAGCTGATCTGCACAAGGACCACTACTTAGGGTAGATGGTCCCAAATGTTGTCATTTCCTTTAAACTCTCAGTTTCTCTGATTATTTATCACTCTCCTAGAGAGGGGATAGCATGGAATCACTCACCCAAAATTTTCTGAATGAGGGCTCTGGGGCCATAAAAAGTTTATTCTGGGAGACCGTTCTTAAACTGAATGAACAGCCATATGCACTCCTTTACACAGGTTAGGGGGAAATCCTCCTTTCTTGCATGGAGTTCAGCATTCATTCATGAAAAATGGATGGAACTCAGCATTCATTCATGAAAATGAGCATAGAGCGCAGCATTCATTCATGAAAAATCCCCCTTTCTTGCATGGAGCTCAGCGTTCATTCATTCATTCATTCTTGAAAAAGGACAAGGCCCTTTCTAGAGGAATGCCCTTCTAGCACTCCTGGGGAGACCACTTAAGACACTGACATCAGAATGTAACAAAGCTCTTTTGCAATACTGTAACTAGCACCCATCTTACTTTATTCACAGTCCTTCTCATCTATTTCAGTTCTTATTATTTCACACTTCTAGAATATAAATTCCATGAGAAGGGGCTTTCTCCCACTGTCTACTTGAGTAGAGGGTTTTCAATGGAGTTGGTCCAAGAGTGGCCTCATTTAGGGATGGATGTTAGTTTTCTGAATTCTTTGGCATTAGTACTAAATGTCTTCTCACGCTTCATATCAAGGTGGACATTTTTGTTTGTTTGGGGGTCATACCTGGTGGTGTTTGAGGTTGCACCTGGCAGTGCTAAGGAGGCCATGCAGTGGAAGTATCAAACCCAGGTCTCCCTCATCACAGTCCATGCTCCAGCCTGATGAACTGTCTCAGGCTCCTAAGCTAGTCTTTTAAGAAATCAATTAAATTGAAATAATTACAAAGTACCCATCTGCAGTTGAATCTTAAAAGATATTTCATAAATTGAATTAAACTAAATCATTTCAAACCTTCATTCTATGAGGTTAAGGAGAGGCCAACTGTATAGGGTGACTTCTTTATGCCCCAAAGCAATTATATTCATTGCCATCTTTGGATGTGACATGAAAGGGTCTGCTAAATAATCGGTATACTATAGCTAGAAATATGAATAAATGTGTCATGCCAGACCTTCTTTTACAATCCAAATCAATCCTTCAGTTGATGTAAGTTTGCAGTCATGAATGTTACAGAGGTCCCAGGACCCCATGACTACTAGAAGTGAAAATAATGACATCCTGGAAACTCAGACTTACATTTGTATCATTCAATTATCTCAGAATTCAGAGCATGAAAGCAAATGCACTTCTAATTTTTTTCTCACTAAATATTTAACTCTTATACTCCTTTTTTTTGAACATCTAAAACCAGAAGCAGAAATACTACTACTATGCATTAATACTTTAAGAAGACATCTAGAGAAATGAAATCTCAGAGATCAGAAAAGAATTTCAAAGACACAGTTCCACTTAAAAAGAAAGAGCAAAATATCTCATCCTAACTTCTCCTCATAAGAAAAACTTGCTCTCCAGTGATCTGGATCTCCAGGGTTTGCCAACTCAAATCATCTGAACTGGCTGAGCTAGAAAATGGTTGTCCTTCCCAAAACTAGCTCTTGCTTCCCAAGCCTTGACTCCACAGCCATGCAAAGACTGCTTGAATTTGACACAAAGGTAACGTGCACCTATGCCAGCTTTCATCCGTGATGAGGCATTTCCCATCTGATCCCCAAGACACCCAAGTATCACAGAAAGTGGAGTCCTAAGATATTTCTACTGGTGTGCTGTGGTACAATGACAAGGATGTCAGCCCAGCAACTACAAATGATGCGTTCGATTCCTGGGTGGGTCTGGGATACCGGCAAATCAATCAACGCTTCTCTGACCCTCTGCTACAAGTTCATGTTACAGATCCTAGAAACAAAGTTCCTTTAAAGATCAAGTTAGCTTGAACATGAGTAAGTTCTTTGGAAAATATAAGATTTTATATTTATATTTACAAATGCTAGGAACAGAATTCTCAAAGTTCATTCTTTTTCCTATAGTAATCTTTATCTAATTCTGCTTCTGCTACATATTAGACAAATTACATACAAGGTAACTAGAATTGGTTCTATCTGTCCTAGTACCTGAAAATCAAAATGGTATGTTTTGTATTTACTCCCCAAGTAGAATCCTATAATAATTAATAGGTTTTAACTATTGGCATGCAAGAAAAAAGTATTCCAATAACAACCTGAGTACCCTGATTTCCAAAATCAATGTTTGAGGATTTACACCCTACCACCCATCTATGGGCTTCCCTCCATCACTGAGACCTATCAGCTATATGTTTCACCTTTCTTGGAGAAGCCAAAACTCTAGACCAATGCCCAATAGCAGGACAGGCTATTCCTCTTTCTAGAAATCAGGCTGCAGTAACTCCGTCTTTTCAACTTTCCAATCTGATCTCCTGTTTTCACCTTGGTTAATCCTAAAATTTCCCTTAGCTTCTCAGAGTCATCTCTACTTTTCTCTTTATACTTTTTCTTCTGAGTTATCCCTGCTCTATCCACCTATATCTAGAATTCCCTAGAATGAACCACAGCAACATCTATCAAGTTTCCCAAGCCAGAACAAGAAGGTACCAAGTTCAAAAGTTCCAGGTGCCTTCCACTACCTAGAATTGGGCCTCTTCAGTCTTGCTGCTGGCATTATTGCCACTATCATCTTTTTTCATGATCTCGAAGCATCGTTAGAAGGATTCCAGTTTAACTTCTGCCATTGAGCTCTGCCCATACAAATCCAACATAACTTCCTAGTAATAACTCATTAATGGCTTCCTACAGGTCCAGAATGAAGCCCAAATTTCTCATCATAGCTTTAACTTTTCTATTTCTCTTCTTTTCCACTTTTTTTCTTTTGCTATGCACCTAGTCACATTTCAATTCTTCCAGAATCTCAAATAAAACCTCATATGTGCTTATTTTTTACTTGAACCATTCTTTCTGATTCTTCCTCCAAATATGATATTTAGGTTTCATAAAAAACTCTCTCTTCCCTCTGGGAATCCTTCCCTGGACGTTCCCCAAATGATGTTAGGAGTCCCTCCCTCATTTCCAGAGGATCTAGCCAGCATTTCCTTCCTCATCAGAGACAGCAGCACCCAGGCTTTAGACATTGTTTTTCAGCTGTGTGTCCCTCATGAATAAACTCTGTGATGATACAAGCCAGATTTCCTTTATTTATCATTGCCTTCCCTATCACTAGCCAGTGCCTGACATATAACTGGTGCTCAGTAAATACTTTATGCGTTGGCTTTCCTTTTATCTTTCTAGTCTGTTAACATTCTCGAGATCTAAATTCACATTTCTTCTGAAACTCATAAAAAGACAACACACAATACTTATATCATGTAGGATACATAAACCCCAGGGAGACAGCTATTCACCGAAACTCTAGGCGGAAATGTTTCAAAAAGGATTATTAATGGCACTATCTTCATGGTCTATGATAGAGGTTGAGAGGGGAATGCGATATGCCAACCTTCAAGAAGGAAAACTAATATGATTCCTTCAGTAAGAAAAATGCTTTGTTAACTTCAGGTGGCCTGTGGGAACCCTTTATCAAATCCATTTCAGTTTAATTAAATTGAAAACCTGTTACCTTGTCAGAGTTATCTGGAAGAACGTGTAGCCAGCGATGAATGAAGCCAACCTCGTGAGGCTCTGCTTTCCTGATCCACCCACCCCGACTAAGAGGGCATTTCCTCGGGGAGTACGAATGACTCTTGAGATCTAGAGTATAAAATAGGAAATATTTGTATCCGTCAATACATCACCACTTATATTTTTCTTAATTATTTGATATAAACATTTTGGAAAGCCTAAGTGTCCTGGGATCAGAATTCAGATCTGAACTTGGAGAAATGAGAACATTCCAAAAGCAAAAGTGTTTGTCACATACTCTAGTAAGTGGTGAGGCTGGAAACTCAGAAACCATGGGGAGATCAGTACAGAGTAGTCAGCAGATAGCCCGGACTGTGGATTTCTTTAAGCTACCAAGGACAGGAATAAGAGACATTATGAATGCCTTGGAGTATTTCTAACCTAGTGCAGTTGGATAGAAAAGAAAACAAATTTTTAAACAATACCTACTCTTGGAACACAGAACACACAGTTAACTAAAATACCTTCCACATTGCAAAAATGGCAATTTAAAGGGAAGAAAACAAAAATATTGAATGGACAAGGAGGTCTTAAGAACATCAAACAAGCATAAACCCCTCTATTGACAGATAGTGCTCCCTAAGACATAAACCAAGAAGTGGATGGTGGATAGACCAGAACTCTACACTATACAAGTCAGTGGTCCCATAGCATTCCACATTCCTTTCAGGGAGGAAGTACACACTTCTTTGGCTTTGTTAGTATTGACTGAACTACTTACATCATCATGCACTTATTCCAACCAAGAACTAACTTAGGGTAGAATTCTCAATTTATATTTCACCTTGTGTGATAACTATTTATCTTTACTGACAAACTGCAAGTGCTCTGCAGTTCATTTTGCTCTAGTTAATAAAAAAAAATTCAGGTGGGAATGGAAACAAGGTCACTTCTCGATGCTGAGAGAAGTTTCCTGGTGCAGCCTGGGCTCTGGATACTACCTAGGTTTTGTAAAACATGAGTTTTCAGGATTCTTCCCTAGACTTCTATTGGAACTGTTCTTAGCTCGAGTATACTTCCCCCCATTTAGAATGATAATCCCAGGGAAACGGAGACCACCATTCTGTCTCTGTGGTAGACATGAGAGCTCAAGGAATGGGGAGGTGACCGACACCACTCCTCCAGTATTGTACTTACCCATGTTCTACATTTATATCCAAAGTTATGGTGGAAAATACTACTCTGAAAAGAAGGACAGCACCGGCAAAATGATCAGAATGTTTGTAGGTGCCTATTAAAAGTCTTTCCCCAACATTACTTTGAGAATTCAGATATTCAGATAGATCAGGTAAGAACTTTTGCACAACACATTCCCACCTTCTTTGTATTTTTCCTTGATGTGAATTTTTTAAACTATGTGGCTTTTGTCATCATCACCTTCTTTGGTTGATGCTGATGAATATATTAAGGGCTTAAGTAATTGTTCTCATTATTGAGACTCTTCATCCCAACATCTTACCATACTCCTGACCCTATATCTTATGCTAGTTTTTTCATTCCCTTTATACCATATATTAAAATCTTAAAATATAGATGACAGATGAACACAGACATGAACAAACAGAAGGCTCCAAAAGCAGACACCAAAAACTCATAGTCTAATTAAAACAGAAATCGTGGGCAAAAAACAGACAAGTAAAAGTTTCAACAGTGTATTTTGTGCTGAAATACATAGATAATGGAATATATTCATTTTCTAATTTATTTAAGAACTAGTCAAGGAATCAAGAAAATTCATCCTTCCCTGCAGGTGTTCACATTCTACCCGGCAGAGCTCTATTAATAGAAACATGGTAATGTACATTTAGTTAAGTCCTGTGACAGAGAGGAATTAAAGAAATTCATGGAGGAAACAAGGCAAAGAAAAGAATGTTACTTGGTCTTAGAGGTTGAGCTGGATTTGATATGGGCATTGAATGATAACCAGAAGTTGATGACACAGAGACCATTATATAATAGCAGAAATTAGACTAAAATTTAGAAAGGAAGAAAAGATGCACAAACTCTGAGTAAGCAAAAAAGTCGGAGGTGACTCTCTTCTGGTGGGAATATCAGTATAGAAGCAAATATCAGATCTACACACAAACTTAAATTGTGCACAACTCGGCACCTCTGGGAAGGCAGCGGTAGAGTCACTCTGAAATCCAGATGTGTTTACTCACAAGCAGTTGGGTTTTTTGGACTACATGTTAAACACATGTTAATCACACCATGGTCCCTTAATAACAGTGTTAGATGGAGGTCAGACAACGCAATACATACATGCTCCACTCAAACTTTAACCCAAAAGGCTAACGAGATGCAACAGTGACATATTCTTTTTTGACATGAAACATCAATTTCACTGAAAAGATAACAAAGAAAGAGGCCATATCTCATGTTCTCATATTTCTTCCTGTTCTGCACAGTTTTCAGTTTTCAGTTATGCTCTTGACCACTGCCACATTTTAGAACTAGGTCATATATCTTTAGGTTGCGCTCACATGAAACATTTGAGATGTGTTATACATATAAAATAAGACTATAGAGGAGATTGACCTAGAACAAAGTGACAAAAAGCACCAGTTTAACATTAAAAACTTCAATCAGGGAATCCTTGGCTAATCCCAAAACAGGCATCCAAGAGGCTAAGAGGGAGAGACCGCTAAGAGGGAGAGACAACAGAGTCCAAGATCCAGGACTGAGCATGTAAGCCTTGAAGAAAAACACACTGTTCATTATCAGGGCAGCAAAACAGAAATATACCAGTGCATCAAACTTCCTGAAGCTCAACTGGAGCATAAATAACTCATTTCTAATTTGAGCTGTGATAAAATTCAAGGTCAATCTGAGTTTGCCTCAAGTTACAGATACTGCACCATGAAGTTGTCTTTGGTATTATGTATTTAGGAAATAATTTGGTCCGTCCTTTTAATAAATACATACTGTAGAATGTCTGTTTCTCCAGAAGCAATGAACCCTTAATTATAGATTAAGATCTGATTTCAAAATGTGATTTCTATTTATCTCTGAATCAAGTTTTGTGGTCTTAATTCAGTATAATTAACTCTGATTCTGAGCATTTATTTTTCCAAGCTAAAATGTCTTCATGTTGGGAAGACTGAACCCCAGGACAATCTTCATGCCTTTCTGACAGCCGAAAAGTCTTCTCATACTCTTCGTCAATCAAGATATGGTTGATCTCCAAAACCCTCTCAATTTCTGAGATTCAAATGAAAATACGTATTCACAAGATCATTTCTCAGTTACACCTAAGTAGTAAAAGAAAACCTTGAACCCCCTTGAAATTAAAAGGATGGCATCAGAAAAGGTCATTGACATTGAAATAGTGAGAATATCAGCAATTGGTTTAAATGGCATTATCTTCCAAATAAGTTAAACAAGTTACCAAGTAAATAACACATTTTCCTTCCATCCTTTGAGGATCAACTGTCATAAACATTGAAGCCAGAATAACTCCTTTGATAGAGCAGAAAGGAAACCACATCTGATGGATTACATTCTAAAGGAATTTTTATCTTATCCAAAGAAAATTGTTGACACACTATTTCTATTTGTAATTGTGATAACATGCACAAAACCTCAAATGTATTCCTTTTTAAGTATAAATTTCAAGCATTAAGTACATTAATTAAGAGCACAACTACTGTCTTCAGCCATCTCCAAAATACTTTTCACCTTGCAAAAATGAAACTCTGCACCCACTAAATTCTTCACACCCTCCTCTCCTCCTAGCTCCTCAACTTGATGCTTCCATAAATTCGATTACTCTAAGCAAAAATAATTTAATGACACTATCTTGTAAAATTTTGGTAAATTTTAAGCAATTTTAGTAAATAATTTTAAATAGTAAATAACAGTAAAATATTACTGTTTAGTAAAATAATACCATCGTTGTCTTTTTTGTGACCAATTTCACATAGCATAATGAAACTATATGCACTATATTAAAAGTTTATGAAGTTCTTTTATTATTATCCTTTGCAAAAAAAAATCAGATATTTTGCCTGTGCTCTGAACTCATATGTCAACCACATTCATTCTATGTAGTGAAAACATTGAGCTGGAAGCTATATGGCAACACTGAATAAAATTATCATGTCACACATTTGAAATACACCAGTCCTGATTTTAAGCCTATAGGTGTGATATGTTGCATCTACTTTAGAAATTAAATTAGAATATAACATTGAAATTATTTTCAAACTGAATATTCTCCTAGAATATCAAGTATAAGAGGGTCTGATGGATCCTAGACACATCAAGAGGACTTACGCACAAGTAATCTGATATACTAAGATAATGTAAATGAATAAGAACCAATCACAAAGAGAACAAATGATGTGTAGGGGGAAATTCTGGTATGCGGTCAGTCTCTATCCCACAGGGCAATGTTTCTGGGTGTACCCACTCACCTTGACTAAATGTACCATAGCATCTGCAAAAAAGACCAAATCCATGCCAGCCCCACGAATGCTCTCATTATAGAGTTGCAGGAACATATTCAAACGCTCCTTCAAGTGGCCAAAAGATTCAATTGGTTCATAAATTTTGGGCATTTCTGCATCAGCTTCCTCTGGTGTTTCACCTGGGGTTGCGAAAGAAGAATCAATAATGTTTCTTCGAATTGCTGGTTTACTTCCTTCAACCTAAATCACTGCACTCATAACCACAATTTAACAATGAATAATACTGACTTTCATGAAAATTTTACTGTACGTCAAAACAAACAAACAAACACTGTCCTCCCGTTGTTCATCGATTTGCTCGAGGCGGGCCCAGTAACGTCTCCATTGTGAGACTTCTTGTTACTGTGTTTGGCATACTGAATACTCTCGGTAGCTTGCCGGGCTCTCTGAGAGGGGCGGAGGAATCGAACCTGGCTTGGCCAGGCTGGCTGCGTGTAAGGCAAATGCCCTACCGCTGTGCTATCACTCCACACACAATTGTACGTCATTTTAGAAAAATAAATTTAACAGTATAAAAGCATTGGAACATTTGTGATGATATAGTTTTAGTTCTCTTCTGTCCAGAAAGAGTCCATTTGAGAGAGCCAAAGTTACAGTACAGTCAATAGGGCTCTTGCCTTGCATGCAACTGACCTGGATTTGATCTGCAGTACCCACATGAACTGCCTGGAGTAAACCCTGAGCACCACAGAGAGTGACCCAAATACATACACACAAAAGAAAAGAAGAAAAGAAAAGAAAAGAAAAGAAAAGAAGAAAGGAAAAAAAAGAGGAAGGGGAGGGGAGGGAAGGGGAGGGGAGGGGAAGGAAGGAGGAGAGGGGAGGGGGGAAGGGAAGGACCAGAGTCAATTTGAAAAAACACTTACATACATCAAATTTAACCTGAATACATAATTGAGCATTGGTATTTCAAGATTATCTGAGGATACAGTCACTGAATGATTAAAAAATGGTTAAAAGTAAAAGCTTATGTCAAATTATCAAGAGAAGTACAGATTTATATGATTTTTTTATAAATCAAAGGAAAAGTTTGACTATATTTGTTCAGAAAATTTTTATCATTCAGGAATATTAGATTAGTGTAAGGACAGAAATAAATTTGAGGAAATAGCAGTGGAAGATTGCAAAAAAATATATAGAAAATGATTTCCTAAATAAATCAACAGAATTACTTCAAGGGGAGAATAATTATAAATAATATATTTTAAAAGTAAAAGCAGGGGCTGGAGCAATAGCACAGCAGGTAGGGTGTTTGCCTTGCACACTACCAACCTGGGTTCGATTCCCAGCATCCCATATGGTCCCCTGAGCACCGCCAGGAGTAATTCCTGAGTGCAGAGCCAGGAATAGCCCCTGTGCGTTGCCGAGTGTGACCCAAAAAGCAATAAATAAATAAATAAATAAAAGCATATAATATGCCAGTTTTTTTTAACTCTGACTACAAAGCATAGGCTTAATGCCAAAAAGAAAGCTAAAATGAGTATAAGCTCACTACCACTGAACACTGGAAACAGAAAATAGCAGTGACACCTTCCTTGGGTATACTAACAGCCTCGAAATTCACTGGGTTTGTAGAATATGCAGCTATTCCAAATGCAATAATACATAATTTTTTCCATAGACCTTGCATTAATATAATAGTATGTGAATCTTTAATGACTGAGCTAAAATATCAATTTAACATGATCATTAAGATTATTTGCTCGAGCAGGCCCCGTAACGTCTCCATTGGAGACTTTGTTGTTACTGTGTCTGGCATATCGAATATGTCACGGGGAGCTTGCCAGGCTCTGCCGTGCGGGCAAGATCCTCTCGGTAGCTTGCCGGGCTCTCCGAGAGGGGCGGAGGAATCGAACTCGCGTCGGCCATGTTGGCTGCATGCAAGGCAAACGCCCTACCACTGTGCTATCGCTCCAGCACAGCGGTAGGGCGTTTGCCTTACAAGCGGCCAACATGGCCGACCCGAGTTCGATTCCTCCGCCCCTCTCGGAGAGCCCGGCAAGCTACTGAGAGTATTCGATATGCCAAACACAGTAACAACAAAGTCTCCAATGGAGACGTTACTGGGCCCGCTCGAGCAAATCGACGATCAACGGGAGGGCCTTTACCTTTACCTTTATTAAGATTAGCTTGTTCACAAGGAAACATGAAGCCATGAAATTTGCTTATAAATGGATGGACATGGAGAGGATCATACTGAGTGAAATGAGTCAGAAGTAGAGGGACAGACATAGAATGATTGCACTTATTTGTGTGATATAAAAAAATAGTATGATATTAAAAAAAACATAGAGACTAATATCCAAGAACAGAAGAAACAGAGGCTATGAGGATTGGTCCAAGGTTAGAAACTTCCCACAATGTGTTGGGGGCGGAGGGCAGTTAGGATAGAGAAGGGATCACTACGACAATAATAGTTGGAAATGATTGCTTTGGACAAGAACTGAGTGCTGAAAGGAGGTCAAGGGGTTCATGATTATCTCTCAATGCCTGCATTGTAACCGTAATACCCCAAAGAAAAGAGAGACAGAAGAAAAGTGTCTGCCATAGATGAAGGCTGGAGGGTGGGGGTCAGGGGCAGGAGGGAAACTGGGGACATTGGTGATGTACACTAGCGAAGGGACAGGTGTTGGAACATTGGATGACAGAAACTTAATCACGAACAATTTTGTAATTGTGTATCTCATGATGATCAATTTAAGAAATATTGGCTTTTTTTCTTGCAATGCTCGAACTGACCTTCGATAGTTACTTTACTGTTTCATAATGATTCAACTCAAACTTTGAGCGAGAAAATTGCCTCAAAGTCACAAACCACTTTGCCTTTGCCTCCAGATACATTTTGCCTTTGCCTCCAGATACATTAAACTGCAAAAAGGCAACAGCTGTACTTTGTTCCTTGAAACTCCAATCTGATTATTTATCCTTCTGAATTAGAGGAAATACGATATACAAATCTGCATTGTAAATGGTCGTAGCTTTACAGGATTTTGATATGTGTGTGACCTGGTTTAAAATAAAATGTCAGCTTCTTTCTGTCGAAAGATTGTCCCAACTGCAGAGCCAGCAAGAAACCTTCTCTAACAACTGTCACTCAGAAACTTTTGATGGATTATACATACATTTTCCAATTCCAGTAAAAGAATTCCTTGTTAGTTTTAGCTACTTAGAAGGCATGTGCATAAATGGGCCTTTTTAAACATGGAAATTAACTTAAAATTTATCCTCAAACACTAAAAGGGAAAACAGCTCACCCTTCAACTCCCCGAGTATATATCTGTCCAATTTCGTACTCTGCACTTATTGCCCACCTCTTCCCAGGCTCATTTTGGTAAAGTTCATAAAAGTCAGCACCCATGTCCTCAGCTTTGAGAAATACCAAATTCGGTTCCAATCATTTACCTGTAGCTTCGGGCGCATCTCTCAAGAAGTCCACAAAATAAGCATCCACTCCACAATCCACTGCGAGTTTTTTCTCTTCACCAAGTTCCTCCTCCACCAGGCGTGCTAATGTCTTATCAAACCAGGTGACATCTTCAGGCACTGTGAAACGATCCGCTATGACTCGCTTACATTCATGCTTCCATAGCTGTAAGAGGCCCTGCCAAAGGGAAAATGGAAACGTACTACTGGAGGGAGTCATGTTCAGCGAAGGCACTCAGCGGGAGGTGATTTCTCTCACATGACATGTAAAGGAACAAAGCAGGGAATGGACAGTGTCTAATGACAACAAATGTTTGGATTTTGATGAGAGGATCGAGGTTACCCTGCGTTGGGAGGAGGGGGCTTGGGGTAAAGAAGTAAAAGATGGACCAGAAGTGCCATAAGGACAGTGGGGAGTGGGCTGTCTTTAGCACTTAGTGGTGGCAGTAGTTGAGCAATAACTTTGCACACTACAAGCATTAACATTATTGTAATCACGCTATGTTCTATTATAATTCTAATCATTAAAATAAATAAAATGAATTATTAATATTCACCAAGCCAGACTTGTAATTTTAAGTTAATTATATTTTAGACAACTACCTTTTCCGATTTACAATGTTGCATTTTAAATAGTAATGGTTCAAATACACTAAAACTTGATTTCGAATTGGTCTTGTTCACCCCGATCAAGTAGTAAGTACTATCTATTCACTTGAAGTCTTTAAATTAAAATAAAAATAACCTTAGAAGACAATATTAAAAGTAAGCTGATCAAGCAACAAGCTAATATTTTATATATTATGTCTTATTTAGTAACAAGTTCATTGTGAGACAAGAGACTGACAGTCATAAACCTAGACCACACTATAATATGTAGGGTATGACAGCTGTCAGGTACCTTTGATACTACTGAGGTGCATATGCTTAACACGATGAAAAGAAAAATCTGGATTAACTGAACAAGAAACCATCTAGTTTATATAACCCAGAATCCAACATTAACTGAAAGGTGCAGAGATTACTTATTAAACGCTCCTTTCCCCATAACAACAAAAATTCTTCTATACTCATTATTTGATATGTAAGACTAGTGGAATTTTCTATCTGGGTACTATTTGTAAGTTAAAAAGCTTTTAAGTCACTATATTACTAATGACTAAAAGCAATTGGCTGGCTAGAAGGTAAAAAGTATTTTCCATTAGAAAAAAGTTCAAGGTAACATCAATTATTACAGCTACTTCAGCAAATGATGATTTCAACTAAGTACTCCAAAAAATGGTTGTTCATGAGTTTTTACTGAAGAATGTATTGCAGAATGATATTAATTCATCAGTAGCTTTGAGGAAAGTTTATTGGTACTAAAATGATTTTCAATTCTTTCCAACAGAAGAGTCCTCCACCTAGATCTTGGAGCTTTCCCCCAAATCCTCGAAGTTAGCATGGTTATCTACTTGTGAATATTCAAACAGGTTTTGGTCTTTATTGTTTGTGTGTATGTGTGTGTTGTGTGTGTGTGTTGTTTTTGTTTTGCTTTGAAGGGCTACTCTTGGCTGTGCTCAGGATTTACTGCTAGCTCTATACCCAGGAATCACTCACTCTTGGTGAAACTTGGGAGACCCTATGTGGTGATGGGAATTGATTGCGTGCAAGTACCTTAACCCCTGTACTACCTCTTGGTCTTACTACTTACAGGACAGTTTGGTTGGTGACTCAACTATCAACTATTTCTGCAGAGAAATTTCATAAGGCACATCAGCTTTAAGTAATCCTTCACTCCATAAAAGAATGAAGGAAAGCCTAAAGTTATCTCTGCTTGAACAGATTATGCTTGGGGATGATAGAGGCTGAGATCAGATTGACTTTTCTAGGAGAATTCCTCTAACTTTTGGCACTATTGTATTCAGGCGCATGTGCAGATATTGTTCTATTGCAAAATTAATTTTTCTACTCATAACCATATTTATTACCTTTACAAATATTTATAATTGTTTTTTGCACTTAATTACATGGAAATAAAAATATTATTTGATAGATGAGTAACAACAAATTGAGTCCTTTAATTTTCAATGTTTATAACTATGGTCATATTTTTAAGTTAAACAGTCAAATTTAAAATACAAGGCCTACTACATAATCAATAGCAACTCTTTCCACTATTCAGTATAAGAAAAAATCTTGAGGTGGAAAAACAAGATTATTTTTTCCTTTTATTCTACTCATTAGAAAGCAACTGTACTGTTTCCTTAAACATTAAAAGTCTTTCCAAAAAAGTTTTTGACATAACTTTTGTTAGCTTAAAAGCAGCAAATAGAAAACATGGTCATGCTAAAGCATTCCAAAATGTCTTCATAATTCCACCAAAAATCTGCACTTCTCAGACTATTTAGGGCATGTAAGCAGGAATTCTTTAGGGTACATTCCCCTCTAATGACTGTGTCACTCACATCTGGTTCCTGGATCACCTCTGAAGTCGTGTTCAGCATTCCCTGCCAGATCCTAGAGAGATCCCGAAGGTTAAATACATAGTGGAACTTTGCAGGAGTTGGGAGCATTCTGTTCTTTGTCATCTGCCATAGTCGGCGAGTCAGGGGAACCACCCTGGTGACGGACTCTCTCACTTCTTCCGAGAAACCCCTCTGGGGACAGTAGTGGCCAACCCCAATCACACCTGGAAAGAAGATTGTACCATGTGACAGCTCAAACCAACTATACTCAAATGAAAAACAACATAATCCAAAGTTCTCGCAAGCACAGTTTCGCATTTTAATAGTTGGTCACAGAAAGATACTTCTATTAAGAATCTCTTGCAGGTTTTTTTGGTTTATTGTTTTTGTTTTTGGGGGTTTTTTTGTGTTTATTTTGCTTTTTGGGTCACACCTGGTGATACACAGATGTTACTCCTGGCTCTGCACTCAGGAATTAACTCTTGGCAGTGCTCAGGAGACCATATGGAATGCTGGGAATCAAACCCGGGTCTGTCGTGTGCAAGATAAATGCCCTGCCCGCTGTGCTATCACTCCAGTCCCCCTCTTGGAGGTTATTTTTAACCAAAATAAATATAAGTATTTTAAGTAGGCATTCAAATACTAGAAAATTGATTTTAAGATGTACTAAAAGCTATACTAAAGACAGTCAATATTATTAAATGAGTAAGAGCAGATACATGAAATAATTCCTCCTAAAAATTGCAAAGGAAAGAAAGAGGGAGACTTCATGAATCTCCAATTTCCCTATTCTTTTGAAAACATTAAAGGCATTGCTTTTCCAGGTATTAATGTTTTAATTTACTATATACTTAAAACTTTTAAAGCAAAGGGGAATAGTTAAAAGTGATAATAGCCATTCTTTCAGGTCCATTTTATTTTTCCATAGTTTAGATCTTTCACATGTCATTGAATTTCCAAATCTTGCTATTGTGACTGAAGGCCAGGATTGCCGTTCTCCACCAGCCCAGGGCACTAAGATGACATTTCACTCTGTCGGAAATTAATTAGGGTGATCCTATTGAGTTTTTTTCCTCAGGAGCAGTTTCAGGAATGGTGGGTTAACACCTAACATGAATACATACATAACTTTACACTCTTTCTGCAAAGAATAATTTTGAAACCAGTTATAAATGCATTTTTCTCAGTTAAATAATTATGATTATTGGACTCTTGCTTCATCAGTAAATTATTTCTATAATGCTAAAATTAAATAATTTACTCCAAACTTGGAGCGATAGCACAGCGGTAGGGCGTTTGCCTTGCACGCAGCCAACATGGCCGACCCGAGTTCGATTCCTCCGCCCCTCTCGGAGAGCCCGGCCAGCTACCGAGAGGATCTCGCCCGCACGGCAGAGCCTGGCAAGCTCCCCGTGACGTATTCGATATGCCAAACACAGTAACAACAAAGTCTCCAATGGAGCCGTTACTGGGCCCGCTCGAGCAAATCGGTGAACAACGGGAGGGTCTTTACCTTTACCTTTTAAAATCTCTGGATAATCTCTGATATGTGCAAAAGTAATCCTTTGGCCAAAATCATTACGTGGGCTGGTAAAAAGCATCAACTACATAATTTTTTGGTATTGATGTGATATTATATCAACCCAAAATCTTAAATATGATTAGAGATGAAAATATACCATCTCCAAGTTCATATAATGTTTAGCCTCAACGCAAAAAATAGTTAAAGAAAAGCATACGCGTAAAATCATTTCTAAGCAGTCGATTCAGTTCCTGTATCTGTTCACTCTCATCCCCAAATTCACTACTTGGGAGTACTGAGGGCAGGACCAAAGGGCCATATGCACCTCACTGCTGGCCTCTGAGTGGGTCACAGCAGGCACTCTTCCCGCCCCCAGCCCCACCGTCTACCCTTACCAAAAATCTTGTCCATGGAAGCGTCTGAAGGCAAAGTGCAATTAAAAATAGAGAACTGCCTCTTGAGTCTTTGGGGTATGTCATTGCGTCCACCCCCTGGATGAATCATGGCTGCCAAAAACTGGACGTCCACAATGCTGGTGAACTCTCCAGGCTTCTCGAGGTTATAAAAGCCATTCTGTTCCATCAGCTGCCGGACTATTTCATTAGTGACCTAGAATATGACACTTTGACAATGAAAAGGCTATTCCTTTGTATTACGGAGCATATTCCTCGAGTGTTTCCGAAGAATGGGCTTTCCTGGATTCAGGAATCACATGTTGAAAGCATAGGGAGGCATTCATTCATCAAATCAAAGGAAAATAAAATTTTAATGGAAAAAAATTCAGTGCACAATTGGGTTCATATACCTGGTCTCCCCATTCATTGATCACTGGCATATTCACATCATCGATAAAAACAGTCATTTTCTTTCCTGCAGGGGGGCCATATGTTGTTCCCATTCGCTTATCCACATAGCTCTCCACTGTTCTCTATAAAACAAACAAAATGTTCATGAAAATATATTCTATAACACATCCAATTAATTTTTAAAATTGAGGAACATTTGAATTAATAGGAATTACTCAGAAAGCCCCCCAGACTCCCCTTAATTCTGGAAAGCAGGACAAACTGTGCTCAAATGATCTTTCATAATGCTTATAGCCTCGGAAATTTGATTCCATTTCCATGTACATGAAATGCTAACTACTGCAACTTTTGAGTGGGAGTAAATATTTCTGTCTGTGTCCACATTCATTTTTAGCTAATAAGGACCTATGAATAACACCTCCAAGCCACATTATTTAAAGCATCCAGACCTGTTAAAAATTCCCTTATAAACAGAGACAATGTGACACGAAACTATTGTTCTAAGACTCCCCAGGGTCTGTCTGCACATGCCGTCTCCTGAATAAACTGTCCTGACTCCATGGGAAAGGTTGCCAGTGGGCTTCGGTGGCCGGACAGCACCCATACTCGAGGCCTTGGGGCAGAGGCCACCACATCAGTCCCCACTGCTGCACACAGCCCAGCTGCAAGGATGACCACTGTGCGAGATCATATAAGAACACTTCCAGAAATGTGAAACCAACAAGAAAGGGTACCATAACTGATGAAATTAACCCAATGGCAGGCATCAATTATACCTCAATCTGAAAATGAAACAGAGACGAGGGACGCTAGAAGAATGAGGGGGCGAGAAGAATAAAGGAAGGACTCCAAACTACTTACCGGCACTGACATGACCATTTTTAAGGTAGGACAGAGTGGTCTGGGAATCATGCAGTTTCCCAGAAAGCACGCGTTGAGTAACTGCATTCTAACACGAAAGCTCATTATTACGATATTATTACATTCCCACCACTATAGCAATCCAACATTGATGATTCTGGGAAATGTTAAAGATAATGTATAAATAAAGAGAAAAGTAGAGGTAAATTGAGATAAAAATGTGTTTCCCCTTCTACCAAAAAAAAAAAAGTAAAATAAAATAGCTTTCTAATTTCATGATTCTAAGCAGACCAGTAAAAAATGACTTTAATACTTTAAGGTGTGATCACAAAATAAAGCCAAGAAAAAACAAGAATTCTATCCATTTTTTTGGAAATCCCTGTAGCTTGGTAATTCCAAGTGATAAGCTAATTTTCATCAGCATTTTAATGAAAGTATGGTTAGAAAAGTACAGTTTCGCAACATTTTTCAACAAGAAGATATATATTTTTCACTTAAAAACAAATCTGCCATTACAACAGAAAAATGGGAAAAAAATCCTATTATCTTGACATAACTGCATTTTAAAGGAGTAGCTTCTCAAGCAGGTGGGGCTGTCCCTTGGGAGAGCAGCAACAATGCAGAGTCAGGTCACCTCAGGGTCAATGAGGGGAGCAAGAGGAGGTATTAAGTGAATTTTTTTTTCTGCAAAAGGGGCAGTTGGCCAAATAAATTTGAGAATCTCTAGCTAAAAGTAATGTACTGAGCGAAACTTAGCTCTGCCTTTCAATGAATGCAAAAGCAGTTAATAATCTTTTGACACTCCCTAGGGCAACCAGAGTCTTCCAGAATTTCCTTTGCTTATTACTGAGAACTCAGAGGCATGTGAAGCTTTTATGACTTGGGGGAGCCTTCTAAGAGCTAGAAGAGCCAAGCATGGAAGAGACGGGGCAATTAAAAAAGTAGCCACAGCCCTGCTCTTTGCTCCTTCCTTCTGACCCTAATTTCTCTGAAGTAGCAGGAAATCACAGTAGGCTCGGTATGTCCAAAAGCTAAGTTGACAGAAACAAACACAAAGCAGTGGGGGAAGCTGATTTGTGAACCTGGGTTTGAGACTGCTGTTTTTTAATGAATTTGGGGGTCTGCTGACACCTCCTGAAGACCCCTGACACAGCGAGGGCTGGTTCTGCTCCAGCGTCTGTTTGGAGTGTGCTATGCGTGGCCTGGAATTTCCAGCTAGACTCTCCCTCCGGAACATCTGCAGTAGCACAGAATCAGCAGAAGTGACTCACACCGTCCTGCACTGGTCCTCGGCCATCACTCAGGGACAGCCTCCAGCGACCTCGCTGCCATTTCCACTTGCAGCATAGGTGCATTCTGTTAACTTTTCGAGATTGCTTCGGAGAAGAACTTCCTTAGCAGTGCCCAGGGGACTCAGGGGCCCCTCTCGGTGATACTCACCCAACCAAGCTGGAAGGTTCCATCCTAGGCTGGTGATGTGGTGCTGTTTGGATCCTGCAGTGACAGGGACCAGCACTGCCCTAGGCCTCCAGAGCTAGCATCAGAAAGGCTGGGGGTGGGAGGTAAGAGTTGTCAGGGACGGAACTAGGGTTCTGTGCCTGAAAGAACCTTCGATTTGGCTTTTCACTGTTCTGTTTCTCCTCCATTCTGAGCAAAGATTTGTACTAGGTCAGTTATTCCTCTTTTTCTGGGAATTAATAGCACAGTCTTTGGAATTGCCCTATATGCTATCAGCATGGGACCATTTACAGTTGTGTCTGGAATTCTTCTGTTTCCACAAGAAATCAGCCCGAATAACTATGTCCAGACTCAGTCTCCCTGACTGCCTGCTCATGCTTCCCACCACACAATCCATTGTTTGGGTGGTACAAACCATAGTCCAGTGAGGAAAACAAAATGAGTAGACTCATTTCTTTGCATATCATCCCTCTTGCTGGAGTGTAAGGAGGACAAACATCCTGATGCTCTTGCTGATACTGTCTTCTCCATGTCTAGACATTTCTAGAAAGGTGTCTAGAAGGCTGCACTCATTATCTCACAGCTGGTACACGGAGAAAGTCAAGAAGTAAGCCGGAACATTTATTTCCTCCACTAATAACTGCTCACCTCACGAGTCGCATCAGTTCTGCTTTCAAACGACAACTCCGATTCACCAGACGTTCTACGTTCCTTCCTTTGCTCACTGTCTCGATCCAGCCTGAGGATCTTTCCTGAGGCTGTAGGTTCACTCTCCGATCTCGCGGCGCTAAGCGCATCTCCTATCTTATTCTACACTCTCCCACCAGAAGGATCTTTCTAAAGGGCAGCTTTTTACTGTTTAATATTGCAGTGGTTCCCATGAGCAACCGGCCAGGAACCTGATGGTGCTCCCCGCTTAATCCTGTAAACACACTTCAAGATGCTGCTTCTGAGGCCCAAACAAAGCAGGTGGGGCTTTGTACTTGCACATAGTTGGGTTCAATCCCCGCCACTCCACAGAGTCTCCAGATCTGGCTAGTAGTAAGCCCTGAGCACAGCAGGTGTGTTCCCCCCTCCTACCCCCGGAAAAGAAGAGTCTTTCTAGGTCTTTCTTCCAGTCTCTCAAGTCCTTCACTCATATTCTAGCAATACGAAAACATCCTGTTAAATGACGTTTCTAGTGCTTGTCATAATATCCTTGTTTCCATATTCCTAGAGTTACTATTTCTGATGCCCCCTCCAAAAAAATTCCAGGATTAGTCAAACAAAATTTGAAAAATAATGATTTACATGAAATATCTTCCATGAATGTCTCAAGCAAGTTCCTTGATTTAAGAAGTAAATAGGCTCTCTAGCAATGACAGTTACAAAGAGCAGTTTAGTTTTGCTCTTTCAAAACAGTCAGTAACTTTCCTCTAAAGTCAGAGAATGGTAGCCAGTGTGCACAGCGTCACATGTGGCCCTAAAAAAGATTCTGATCCTATATTGGTTTTTGACACATACGGGGCACTGGTGCTGACTCCAGTAGTGACAGTGGTATTTTAAGAAATAAAAATTAGGCAACAGAGAGATAGTTCTGGGGCTAAGGTGCTTGCCTTGCATGTGGCCGGCCCTGTTTCAATCCCCTACTATGTGTTTCCCTCCAGGACCAGGAGTAGTGAGCCCACCTGCCCACCAATCACCATCAATCAGTAGCACTGTAGCACTTTCCTCCCACTGTTCATCAATTTGCTCGAGCGGGCACCAGTAATGTCTCCATTGCGAGACTTGTTGTTACTGTTTTTAGCATATTGAATACAACACAAGGAGCTTGCCAGGTTCTGCCGTATGGCCCCAAAACTCAAAATAAAAACTTAAGATAAATATAAACATATTGTTCAAAATATAAATAAATAGACATAGAAATAGAAGTAAGGAATGTTGTCCTTCTCTGGGGTAAATTAAGGATAATCCAATACTGTGAACTAATTTTTTAGTAGACAATTCAGTCTCTAATTTCATAAAATTTGCATAAGGTATTACATGTGTAACTCTTTCAGTATATTAATTCCTGCCATCTTTGAAAGAAATGTTCATCTCTTGTGGGACGCATGGTAGGTAGATCCTTCTAGTGCTTCTCCAACTCCTACTCATACTCATGTGCTAAACTTCTGACCTCAGTTCCTTCCTTTTTTTTTCCTTTTCGGGTCACACCCAGCGATGCATAGGGATTACTCCTGGCTCTGTACTCAGGAATTACGCCTGGCAGTGCTCGGGGGACCATATGGGGTGCTGGGGATTGAATCTGGGTTGGCCGCGTGCAAGGCAAACGCTCTACCCGCTCGACTATCGCTCCAGCCCCTCAGTTCCTTCCTGTGTTCCACGTCCTATCAGCTGCCTCCCTGTCTTGTGCCATGCCCTCTCCCCCGCCCCTCCCCCCATTGTCATAATCTGCACCTGTAGTCTTCTTGGAAAAAATACCCTGGGAGCTCACAGGGGGACATCTGGTGCCCAACTGAGAAGCTCTGGATTACAGCATAAGCAGCACTTCACACATCAGCTAAGCATAAATATGTAGGTATCTGCTCCCAATCACACCAAGGGCCCTCCTCATGGGAGGGGCTACTGGAAGCTGGCACACAGTTGAGGACACTGGGTACTGTCCAAATCTTGGACTCACTAAATGTGTCTCTGAATGAGATACAGAGCAAATTCTGTATTACCTGCAAGGCCTTACACAAAAACTTGGTGCTATAAATCAAAAAGTAAAATTATGGCTACTATTTTTGCTTCTTATCTGCTTTTTTATTTAATATAAGCTATT